AGAGAGAGAGAGAGAGAGAGAGAGAGAGAGAGAGAGAGAGAGAGAGAATATTGTAAGAGGGGGACTAGAAAGACCAAGCTTTTAAAGAGATATTTCATAGCCCTACATTATGCTGATTTACCTTTTAAAACTGAAGATAAAAATGGCCGATTTTCTTCTCTGGCATAGGTAGTCCTCTACTTACAGCTGCAGTTGAAGCCAGAATTTCCACTCATAAGCAAGGCAGTTGTTAAGTGAATTGTACCCAATTTTATGACCCTGGTTGCCAGGATTGTTAATTGAATCTCCTCCCCCCATTGACTTTGCTTGTTAAAACACAAATGGGGAACACGTGACCCCATCATAAATACATGCTGGTTTTCAAATGCCCAAATTTGGATCACATGGCTGTGGGGATGCTAATTAAACTTCATAGTTTTGCCCATTCTTCGTTTACTGGGGTTTTTTTTAATGTATACCAAACACTCCAAACCATGAGCAGACAATGTACTAAGGTACTAAGTTGCCCAGAATATAAGGTACTAAGTTGCCTTTACATAATTCCATGAAACCACAAAAATGTGATTTTTTTAAAATTTTAATAAAAATGTCTAATACCTGATATCTTTCAGAACATGGCCAAACTTTTGACAGTTCTCAAGAGTGAGATTGCTGAAATCATTTTTGGACATTTTAAAACTCATTTTTATTTTTTAGTGCTTTAACCCCAACTCATACTTTATGCATTTCCAGAAGTTTATGTATTTTGTTTTTAGGGATTCCAGGTATCAATTTTGTTTAAGGTAAATAGATAACATTTTTTTCTATTAAAATTGCTTATTTTTAAACTGAGTTCTGATTATCAGTTTTTACAGTTTACAGTCAGCTAGACAGTTGCACAAAATCAGTTGGACAATTACACAAAATCAACAAGGAAATTTCTACTTCCAAGTTTATATATATTTTTTATGCTAGTTTTAATCACCAGTTTTGTCAACAAGGAAAACAGCTGTGTTGCCATAAAACCAATTAATAATTTTGGACTTTCTGAAAGACTGAATGTTTATTATGGTTTAAACTTTGTGGATTATCGTCTGTTTTGAAGCAGGATAGATTGTGTTCTAGTATTATTATTCCATAATACATGTATTCATCATTAAGAATGTGCAAGAATAGGAAAATATAGATGTCATTTTGTACATATTAGGAGTTTGTTTTGTACACACCAGAATTTAGATAAAAGCAGGTGCTCCCAAATGCAATAGTTCTAAATTTAGATAGTCCATGTTGAGCAACCACTAGATAGTGGTTAAATACTAGATAGTCCATGTTGAGCAATCACAATTGGTACTGGCAACTCGGTCATTAAGTGAAACCATTATTAATGAAACCACAGCTATGCTTATGATCTTATTTCATAAGCTGAAATAAGGGTCATAAATGCGAGGACTGGTCACAAAGTTAGAATTGAGTGAAATGCCATTGTCTCTGTCACCACTATCATAACTGTGAAAGGTTACTTTACAAGGCAGTCACTAAACAAGGACTACTAGTAAGCATACTCAACTAGATTTAAACCAGAGGACAGTAGAAATAGGAATTGTACTGCCACTAAAATAGCTGCAGATAGAAGAACACTTTCTATATACTGTAATTATTCCACATTTTCAGTTCAAAGTGTGTAACTGGCAGTTTTAATGCACATAAAAGGTAGATAAACTACTTTTTATACTTGAAATATAAAGTATGGAGTATGGAAAAGTAATTGCCTTTTCCATACTGTCATTCCTCTGAAAATAGAATCTTATACACATGGAGAATTCTCCAATTGCTACTTGTATTATTTTTCAAACTTAGAAATGCATGATAATCTGAAGGAACTGTTGATACAATCTCCATTTTGACCACAATGTGATTTTTTAATACATGGTGGAATTGCTATTTATAAAATTGAATATGTCTGAATGTTTGGAATTCTTGTTATTCCTTTTCTTGCTGTCAAGGGATCTTGGCTATTGCTTCTTGGATTTCCCATACTACAGCTTTGCCTCATTTCCAGTTTGTCTCGGATTACTTTAGTTTATACCAACATTGTAAAATGAGGTTTATTTTTCATTAAACAGGAAACACTTGGGTTTTCCTTGGACAGCTGAAAGGCATCAAACTGATTCAGCTGATACATTTCTCTCCATTTCGCCCAAGCTATTAAAAAAATAAAAAAGAGAAGGAGAGATGGGGTTTGGAAAAAACCTACACAGTTTGCTTCTGGGTCCAATTCAAAATATTGGTTATCACCTTTAAAGCCCTTTGTGGCATGGGACCAGGTTACCTGAGGAACCATCTCATCCTAAATATGTCCACCCATCCCACTGAGTCAGATCGTCCCAAAGGTGCCTTTTTCAAGAGGCAACTGGACTTTCTTGTTTTCCTTAGAAGACGCTTTGCTTCTCATCCAAGAAGCTTCTTCAGCTCTTCCCCACCATCCAGTCAGAGCTGAAGAAGCTTCTTGGATGAGAAGCAAAACATCTTCTAAGAAAAACAAGAAAGTCCAGTTGCCTCTTGAAAATGAACCTTTGGGACAACCATGACCTGGATGACTGAGAATCTACATAGATACCCAGTGAGATGGTTTGATTGACGAGAACTAGGAAGAAAACATCTCTGCCATTGCTCCTGCCCTTTGGATCCTCTTATTCCCAGGGGTGAGGTGAACCCCTACTCTCCTGTCCTTCCAGAAAAGTATTAAAGCCTTGTTCTGCCAATTAGCATCTGTGTGTGTGTGTCTGTCTGTCTGTCTGTCTAAGAATGTCATACAATCTTGGGGATAGCTGGTAGCTTGAAGGTGCTGCCTCTGCCTGGTTAACTTTTTAGCCTTTTTAACTTTGATTTTTATTTTTTTTAACTCTGCTCGGTCATGTTTTTATATTATTTTATGATGTTGTTTATAAAGCAGTTAGAGTCACTTAGGTGAGATGGGTAATGTAGAAATGAGAGAAATTAGGGTTAGGGATGTAATCCAATCAGCTTTCCTGTTGATAAGGTTAGCTTTGCTGCTTTCGTTGTATGTTTATATGCATAGTCAAAGGACTGTATTTTACATGGATCTGTTTTACTTTTTATGTGTAAAGTGGACAGCCAAATTTGTGGTATGTGAGCATATCTGTTCATTATGAGAATTACCAACACCTCAACCTCCTGCTTACCTACTCACTAAATTCTAAAAAAACCCACATGTTGATGATCTGAATGTAATTAGCATGCATGGAACAGTTCTCTCAATTTCAATATCCACTAAGTTTCCTTTTCTCAGAGCTGTTTCGGTAATCAGCTTCTTTCATCCTTGGTGTTTATGGTGAACTGGATGGTTTACTTGCCTCAGTGTCTTGGTATTACACAGTTCGGAGAGTTTTAGAACTCCAGGTGGCTGGCTCTTTGACGCAGAGCAGTATATGGCTTCAAAAGTTTGATTAATGCTTGTAACCATTAAGGAGCTGGAACCGAAGGCCTGGAAGTGTCTATCATTAGACATTCAGGAGTACTTTAGATAGTTAGGTGGAAAAAGTGAGCCCCACATTGAAAACGTATACTTTTTTGTTAACAGCCCCTAAGCTCCATGGAATCCTTTTTCAAAAAGCACTTCAGGAGGAAGATTGCATCATCAGGGCCCCAACGCTCCAGTATGGTGACCTTGCCTGCGAGCAGAGCGAGGCGGCGTTCTGTGGTAGGTCAACCCTCTACCATACTTGTGGAACGCCGGCGCAGATCCAGTGCTCAGCTGCAAGAGATGTCTTGCTTGGGCTCCTCACGCAAGCGTAGGTTGTGTTCCCGGAGGCGATCTAGTACCACCACCCCTTGCATGAGCCCTAGATTCTCTGTCCAGAAGAAGCGTGGGGGCCATGCGCATACCATAGATACTCATCTCATAGGGCCCTCTTTGCTGCTAGCCAGTCTCATCCAAGTGTACAAAGAAGAAGAAAGGAGGCAGTCACATTGTCCTGAAAGCTCCAGCTCAGAGTCCCCTAAAGATGAGATGGTGGACAGTGACTGGAGTGAGGAAACACTTTCCTCAGGATCTGAAGGAGCAGAGTTTGAAAAGAAGGAACTGCAGACTGAGTGCCCACTATATCCCATTCCCCCAATCCAACATGTTCCCGATTTAAGACCTTTCCTACGAGACCCTTATTACCTACGCCGCAGATCCTCCCACCTCCTTCCTGCAGAATTTGTGCACAGCAGAGCAGCCTACGGGCTTCAAGGCCGCTACAGATACTTCAACCAGCGGCGGTGGTCAGGCGAAACCTCCAAGACAAGTGCTTTGCTTCAGCCATGCAGTTTTGAAAGGGCTGCCAGGAGGTGGAAGGTGCCTGTTGGAACAAGTTGGCTGCCACTGAGTACCCATAAATGCTTGGGAATGGATCCTGCCCTCAGCAGCTGTGGCAGTGACTCCTCTGAAGGCTACCATGCCCTTTTGACGTATGTATGGCTTATGGGTGGTTTTAAAATCATTTGGCTGGAACTGATGACGGTGGAGGGGAGGGGATGAGTAGGGAGGAGAAACTATGGCAGCGGGAATGCTCATTCAGATTCATTACTTTTGGAGGCTGAATTCTATTTCCAAAGAGATTGCATTGAGTGCATTAATGAGAGACTAAACTGCCCAATCACAATAAAATAAATATCTGAATCTGACATTCCTGAGACTAGCATTTTACTAGCTGCCTTTATCCTTGCTTTACATAGTATTTTCTTGTTCTGGTAAATAGTTTCAGGTTGTTCTGGGACTGCAATTCCCAGAATTGCATGAGTATTGACTGCTAGCTGGGTGCTATAGTCTAGACATCTGGAAACTACAAGGGTAGAAAACTAGAAATTAAAAGTCAAATATAATGTTAACTGTTTTTTTTTATTTTTAAACAACGTTCATCTCCCCCCCCCGCCCTCCCAAAAAACCCCAACTTTAAATAATTATGCATAATTATGTCCAACAGAAAATTGGACTCTGGTTCATCTTCTCAGTGATCTTACAGCCTGTGTAATTGCATATATTAGGATTTTTTTCCCCTCTAGCCTTTCAGAAAAATGATTCTCTATCCCCGGTGTAATTTTTCATCAGGTTGGGCTTACAGAACACACTTATTATAATGGGATAAGGACAAAGTAAGTGTATGGTGCAAACCCCATAGCTCAGTCAGCAGCTGAGAAATAGAATTAGCTTTAACCCCAGACAACCCCTTTTTGTGCAAATACTGTAGCTCAGGCAAATGTGGAACAGTTTTTAAACCCTGCCTAGTCAGTCATTCAAGAAAAAGGAGCTGATAAAGCAAGGCTCTCCAGCCATGGATGTTCCTAGCACCCAAAGAACAAGCCTTGTACGGACGGATAGGCTGCAGCACCCAATGAAACCTTTCTAATACTAGTTGGTTGTAGGACCAATGAAGCCAAAAGGTGCTTACCTGGCAGTGAGAATTACAAGAATGCATGACATTGCTAGGCATTTAGTAGAGAAAGCTCTCTGTTCCCCGAAATACTGGCTTTTGAACCAGTAGCAAAGTGTGTTGACCGAATTAAACAGGTTCGGTATACATGACTATAGAGTACTCTTCTTCTTTTTTTTAAAAAAAAATGCCCTTATTTAGCATCAAGGTTTTAAATATAATACATATATGGCCTATTTTGTGTGAACGAAATGCCCTCACGGCCACTCTTCTTCTTGTCTTTCAGAAAAGCCATTGCCAAGTCAGGTCTCCAGCACATGGTAGCCCAGCCAACCCCCACATTCGCCTTAAGAAGTGACTCAGAGAGGGAGATTCGTAATTCTGTTGACTGGAGTGTAAGTTCCTGCCTTGGGTGAACGAAAGAAGAATGGATTGTTTCTCTGTCATTAGCTGGGCTGCAACTATCAAGTCCCCACATGGTTGGTCTTTAAGGGTAGAAGCAGAGAGTATCTTTGACCACAGAGTGCGTCACAGTCAGATTGCTTGAGATAGCAATAGCAATAGTGCTTAGACTTATATACTGCTTCATGGTGCTTTACAGCCCTCTCTCTAAGCGGTTTACAGAGTCAGCCTATTGCCCCCTACACTCTGGGTCCTCATTTTACTGACCTCGGAAGGATGGAAAGCTGAGTCAACCTTGAGCCCATCAGGATCGAACTTCAGACTGTGGGCAGAGTTAGCCTGGAATAGTGCATTCTAACCACTGTGCCTCCAGGGATCCTGTTGGAAGTGGAAACAACATAGAGAAGCGGAAGCGTGATGATGTCCCATCATGTGGTTCATGTGTATTCCCATTTCTCTGTTGCTGCAATAACGCATCACCAGAAGGATGCATCCCTGGTATGATTAAGATAATATGCCTCTTTTCAGTTCATTATCAGGCTGTATTTAAGAAATAAGTCCTTGAACCAGAGTAGACAATGATGGAAAACTGGGCAGGTTGTAAACTTAGTATAATTTTGCCTGGAGTTCTAAATTGCCTCTGTCTTTCAGGAGACTGCAGTTTATGGGGAGCACATCTGGTTTGAAACCAACGTCTCTGGGGACTTCTGCTATGTGGGGGAACAAAACTGTGTGTCAAAAATGCTGGTAAGTTTTGTAAGAAACTTCCACTGTCTGGTAAACTTCAAGACTATATGAGATTATATCACCATCTAGTGGAGAAATCAGACACATGAAAAGTATTAAAACAGTATAGAAATATATTTGATATGTTCAGACTGATGCATGAAAAAAAGGAAACATGCTCATTTTACGGAATTGATTTACACTTTATATGTCGTACACACCTCTCATGACTTAGAAAGATTTATAACAGTTCAAAAACCATTATTTTAACATTTATTAAAATACCATATGAATAAAAATTTGAAAATTATGACAATAATATTAAATACTCTGGATGAATAAGTAATTTTAAGCTGCTTCCTATGTGCCAGCAAAGAGGAGCCTTCTTCTGCCCTAGTAGCATTTTGTTCTACAGTGTGAGCCCCATTCCTCCCCCACCCCCCCACCCCCCACCCCCCAAAAAGCCAAAATCCTGACTGGTGTCAAATGTTCTTGTGGCAAGACCTGCCAAATGGGTGGCCAAGTGCACAGAGGTCTGTACAGAAGTATTTGTTTCTGTAGGAAACAAATTCTTGGACTTCAGTCATGTAAGGTAAGATGCATCCAGCTGATATGCAGCCATTCAGGATCGATCCTGGAACCAATAAGCCTTTCATTTTGCAAGCCTGCTTCTTAAGGATGTGTGCATCCTCCTGAATCTTGAAGTAAATCCATGGAATGAGCTATCTTTTCTGAACTTTGCTGCAACCTATTTTTGCAGTCTTTATAATAAGTAGGGAAGGAGACATAAAACTGAAAATTGTCAGCATCTTTCCAGCAACTGGAAAGGATTGTTTCAGTGACACCTGTATTAATACTTCTTTATAAAAGCAGAACAGTTTTGGCAAAATCTTCAGTTTCAGTTTTCTTTTTCTATATGAATTGTGAATTTATATTGTTTTCAGCAGTCTTAGTTGCATAGGAAGTTTCACCACCTTTTCTGCAAAACTCTCAAGGGAAGAGGACTTCTACCTCAGTAGGAAATGGGCATGAGAAGAATTTTGCCAAAATCTAGGAGTACATCTGCTAAACTATTGTCCGATTATGGATTCATGGGGAATGTTGTCCTATCCCCAAAGTAGTAATCTCCCCCACGCCTCCTCAAATTGACAGCCCTATTATATTTTTAGCAATCTTTTTTTCCCCTTTAATTTGACAAGATAAATCTCAAAATAAGAATATCTTATAGGCTTAGGGAATGTAAAAGCTGATTCCAGACCACAGTCACAGATGCTCTAGTGAGCTTTTTCAGCATATCATCAGGGAGATGGAAGATGAGTATGCTTGCTAGGAGCCAAGATAATGGTGAATTATGTCTAGGCAATGCTAAAGAGAACTCAGTATCCAGAATAGCATCTGATCTGATCTGATCTGAATTTATTTCAAGTCTATCTCCAGCTCTCCTTCCCAGCAGGCCAGAAATTTCAGATCTGCCTATGTCATGCAAAATCCCTGTAGCCCTTGAAAAACTATTGTTCCTTTTTAATGATGGTGATTGTAATAATGATATCTAGTTTCAAATAGCAACAGAAAAGCCTACTCCAGTATAAAAGTAATTGCTTATATATGGAAGAAGTAGTCCTCAAGGAAGGACAGCTCCTTTTCTCCTAGGATCACAGAAAGCTCTTAAAATCTGGCTTTGGTCCCAGACCTGGAGTTAATGTATTATTGTATTTTCTGGAGCCTGTTTTGTTTGATTCGTATTGCTTGTGAGATGATTTCGGTCTGGGCTGTTTTGTTATGTTTTATCTGTTTTTATAGATTGTTTTTGTTTTTTGTGCTATCCGGAGTTTATTGGACTTGAGTGGCTATAACAAGCTTGAATAAATAAGATTAAAGGTGGAACTGCTGCCCATTAGAGATTAGATAAGCTACTACAGTATATACCAGCCCACCTGTCTGAATCAATATAAATGTGTACAGTAAAACCTCAATTTTAGAAATCATTTGCAAGAAATAGTGCCTGTTGTAGACAAAGGCCCATTAAATATGACTTTAGACAATTGATCTGCTTTGCATTATCTGCCTAATTACATCAGTTGTCCCAGCTGCTTCAAAACAACAATCTGTCCATTATTAGAAATGAAGACCAAACTAAAATTTTGTTTGTGACATTCAACATTTGCTGAATGAGTCTGTAAAATTGTTGATAACTCTATAGTGTCACTAATTGTTGATGTTGTTGATAATTCTGAGTGTTTATTTCCCTCCCCAAATCTCACTGTGCTTTCTGTTGAATATTTGATGGCATTTTTTCTCTCCCAGAATTTTTCTTTAAAAGCAGAAGCAATTTTTTAGAGTTCCCTACTATTGCACAATCTTGATCTTAATCTCTCTCAGTCAAATAATTTATTCTAAATATTGTATTCATATACAAAGCAAAATAAATATGTAGTATGCATTTGTAATTTTTGAAAAGTAAACATTCGTGAAAAGAAAAATTTCCTAATAAAGAAAAACATGAGAAAAAGTAGTGAGATGTCTGATGTTGGACTGACAGTTTTCATTTGATGCATTTAAATGTTTTAATAGTTTGCAATTTATTCATTCTGTGATGCTTGAAAAGTGACGACCAAGTTAACAGAATGATGAATGTATTCATTTATCAAAAAGACTTTTATGGCCACCTAACTTAAAACACATCTCTGGACAACTCACAGCAGAAATATATAAAAATACATATAAAAATATCTCTTTATTAAACATCTGTTTGGGGGATTACAATCTAATTCAGATTTATTTGCTTCTTCCTGAATTCTGTTTGATTCACTATGATCAAGAAATGGGGAAGACATTGCGCTCCCTATCTCAAGTCATTGCTTTCCTTGCCTGGCATTTGTATAAGGATGGAAACATGCAGACTAAAAAAAATGGCTTTTATCTGCAAGGTTTTTTCATATGTTAGAATTTATTCCATCGAATCATTTTTCTTGACAATTTGCAATCTTCTCAAGCGCTGGTTGATGGTATAAATATTATGTTTCCTTTGTTGCAGCAAAAACCTATGTCCAAGCGCAAATGTGCAGCCTGCAAAATTGTAGTCCACACACCCTGCATAGAACAGTTAGAAAAAGTGAGTAAACCATCATGAAAAATGCTCTGCTGTATTTGATTCCATCTTGCCACAACCAAAATCTGAAACCTAATAAAATAAAATCATAGGACTTAATTTCTTTTCTTTTAATTCTTTGATCCTAGCTTAGTATTCTGAAGGCCCTAGATTCAGTTAAGTCTAAATTAATTTCAATCTAGACATTGCCAGTTAAATAATCCTGGTTGGAGGTACCTTGTATTACTGCTATTTAGAGAAGAATGTACTGAGCTAGACTAATTCAAATTGCATGTCCTGTAGTTTCATATATTCTTCTGCTTATTTTTTCATCGAAGCTATTTAGAGGGAGGAATAACAGAAAAAAATATAAAAATAGACTGTTATTCATAGGATTAAATCCTCCTTCTGTTAAATCCTCAGATTAATTTCCGATGCAAGCCTTCCTTTAGAGAATCTGGATCAAGGAATATCCGGGAGGTAAGAATTGCATGAACTAGTTAGGATTTGTAGCATTGTTGAAATTGGGGGATTTTTTAAAATATGCAGCTTCATCCCAATGCATTTAAAATGTTTGGCCTAAATTTGAAGCAGGGAATTGTAGCCAAGTCTAAAGCTATACTTTTCCATGGAAATAAAATATGAATGTTTTTGGAATAGAAAAGATACTATGACGCATGCCTTCTTATCTTCGAGAATATATATATATTCAGATAGTGAGAAGTAATAAATACTGTGCTAAGCAGTCACTCTGGTTCAAGAATTGCATACATAATGGTCATGGATAGATTTTCTTAAAGAAAATAATAAGATACCAGCTATAGGAATAAATGAATAAATGCATGCTATCTGGTTAGTTATTGCCTTTGTTCATTTTTAGAACTATTACTTACGGTATTCATACACCAAATATATATTAATGAACTACTTTATAAATATAATATTTCAGTAATCTTATACTTGATATTTTGCTAGTATAACCTGCAAATTTTTATAAGAATAGTGACTCTGAAAGTAAGTCCAACTTTGCCACAAGACGGTTGACTTTTTCCAGTCATTAGATAGCTTTTATTCATCTGCATTAACTCTATTTTTTAAACTTGTTCCAGGGTGTTAGTTCCCAAGCTATATAAGTGTTTCATTAACAATATTGACAGAATCTTTGCATGGTTTTGTATATGATGGGTGCTGTTTAAAGCCTGCAGAAACCATATTGTACTAATACAGTATTACAATGCAAGAGATAACCGTATTTCTCTTCTTGAAGATAAACGGGACTACATTCCATTTGGGGAAATGTGACGAGCATTTTGTGCTGTTTGTGTAACAGAAAAACCTGAGGCAGCATCTACTCTTGATAAGAAAGGCAGTGCTTGTCTTTAAACTCAGATGAAGAATAAAAGAATTAATTCCTAAGGTCACTTATGCAACATTTCCCCTACCTCCCAACAAGAACAAACAGTGAATGGTATCTAATGCCTGTCTTCATTTGCCAGCTCTTACCAGAATACCAACAGCTTAATATTTAGCAGCATTGAAAGCGGTTGTGTTCCTTCCTGTTCCTTTATTTCTTTTTTCCTGAAATCACTCTCCTCTTTCTCTGTAGCCTACTGTTGTGCGGCATCATTGGGTACATCGGAGACGCCAGGAAGGGAAATGTCGACAATGTGGAAAGGTGAGGAAAATAGTGTTTATATGTATCAGGATTTTATCAAATTATATATATAGAGAGAAAGAGAGGGGTTTTGTTTTAGAGGAGCCAAGTTTAGTATGGAACTGGTAAGAAACAATATTGGGCTTGTATCTTCGCATAATATTCTTTATTCTACCAAATAAAAAAAGTGCTATATACAGTGTGATTGAGTTTTATGAACTATTATCTTTCTGATTTTGATAAGTTTTTTCTACACACTGTTTAACTACATCTCTGGATCACACTGCTAATTCATAATTCATTGGGTTTCCAAAAGTTAACCTTCACAAAATTCCAGAATTGTGTGATTGAAGGACATTTGTGTACAAAATTTATAAATGTATATCTGTTGCGACACACAAAAATATGGTTATTTAGTAGACTTTATACTTTTCACTGTAATATAAAATGAAAAAGGAAACTTGAATAATTGATGTTTTTTTTCTTCGTCTGTTCAGGGCTTCCAGCAGAAATTTGCCTTCCACAGCAAGGAAATTGTAGCCATCAGCTGTTCCTGGTGTAAGCAGGCAGTGAGTGCAGCATGTATTTGTCTACCACAATATTATTCTCTTTTTCTCTGCTTCCATTTGCCCCAGAAAATGATGTGCTATTTATTGGAGTTTTTTAAATTAGTTTTTGCGTCATGATTTTACTTGTATATGTAAAAATTTTGTGCTTTTATCATTGTAAGTTCTTGACTACACTTCAAGGAGAAAATGGGGGGAGGGAATAATGTTGGGAAGAGATCTGTTCAGAGTGAGGAATAATGACAACCAGGACCAGCTACTCTGTCGCTGAGCACCACAGCTTCTAAATGAAAAAGCGTGTGACTGCACAAGACATAAAAACTCACTTCTGCTTCCATTGTTAAGCAAATCACCACAGTCATTAATTGGCACATTGTATGACAGTGATTTTAGATTTCACTTCTATGTTCTGTTTTAATTCTGCTTCTTGAAAACCAGTTGTGAAGCACACAGATGGCAATTACATGATCATGGGATATTGTAACGGTTCTAGATATGAAGATTGGTTGCAGAGCTTTTTTTTCAATCATTGTAACTTTGAACAATTATAAAATGAGGTACTATAGTTAATAAGCGAGGATTACCTGTAGTAATGCAGAAACTAGTCACTCACTTTTTACTTTCTTATATATTTCCCTAGAGTATTGTTGGCTTGACTGGTAGTAAAAAAAAAAATCTGAATGTAGAATTGCAGGACACCTTTTTTGAAAAACACAAGATTGTTTTTATAGAGATAGAGAGAGGGAGAGAGATGCAAAGCTAAATGTTCCCTTCTGTATTAATATTCTGACATAGGAGTGTTTTTACCTGTAGAAATGTTAACTCCTGCAAAGGGAAATATAAAAGAAACTCCCTAGCATCCTAAAATAGTACCATCGTTCCCACTAACTCAGCAGTCTTCCTGTAAAGGTTCAGGCAGACAAAACAGGAACTATAAGTTCTCAGACCAGGCCAAATGTACAATGACTTTCAAAAACTTCAGGGGTCACTAAGCACTGAGCCAAGTTTCTGGTTATTCAATAGGGCAGGAGGAAGAAACTTCAAATTAAAATTCCTGAAATCTTTTTTTTAAATTATTTCTTTACATTGCAGTGGATAATAGACTGCTGTGTTACAGCTCTATTACTGTCAGTTCTAAATATTCTAATCTAGTTGAGCTACATCTGAAAGTTTTCATCCAAGTCAGGTTCAGGAGTTGTGCTAAACCATGAAGTCCTGGGAGTTTATTATATAAACTCTCTATATTATATATATTATATACACTAGTCCAGTATTGGAAACAGGCTCACAGAGGCAGCAATTGTTGTTAATCGATTCTGTTCTTTTGCTCCTTTTCAGTATCACAGCAAAGTTTCGTGCTTCATGCTGCAGCACATTGAAGAGCCCTGCTCATTGGGGGCACATGCTGCTGTTGTCATCCCTCCCACCTGGATTTTGCGTGTCCGTCATCCCCAAGTATGTTGCAATTTTATGTTTTCTTCATCCCTGTGCAAATTTCTCCCCTAAAGCCACTTATCCTTATTTAGGCCCAAGCGCTTCTGTATGCATTAAGAGTTAACGCTCAAAGTTCCCAACAGAATTCAGGGAATTGCAGTCTTAACACTTCTGGTATGTGGTGGAGGTACTTTAAATTAACTCCAGATTTACATGGTTTGTTCTTCCTGTCCCCCTCCCTCTTCTCTCTCTAGAACCCTCTGAAGTCAAGTAAGAAGAAGAAAAGGACTTCCTTCAAACGGAAATCCAGCAAGAAGGGACCTGAGGTCAGAGAACTTGAAAGAATACAAGGAACAAAATGAAGAGCAAGCAGTCCTAAAGAAAAAATAGGAGAAAAAAAAATCCTGGGAAATTGGCTAATGTTTTTTTGTACTTTTGAGCATTAATTTGTTAAAACAAATGGGGAAAATACATTTTTAATGCCTCCTCCTCTGTGCTCAATGCAAAGAACTGCCTTCTGTTTTCTTCCAGCCAGACCCTAATAAAATATTTGCAAACCAGTAACTTTTCCTAAAGACTAAGGAAAAATAGTCCAACAGAACTGAAGCAAATTGGACAATGGCATTTAACACAGAGGTGAAAAACATGCGACTCTCCAGATGTTGCTGGACTATCAACCCACTAGCCTCTATCAGTGGCCATGCTGGGATGAGACGTTCGAGAGCCTTAGCAGGATCCTGTTATCACCCCTTGGTTATTATGCTAAATATTAAAAGAGAAAATACCTTTCTCTAAATGTGTAGTAAAACTGCACTATCCTGCTTACAGATAGTGATAAAAATTAGTCATTCCTTATAAATATGCATTAAAAGCAGCAAAGGAAGCTATTTAATAGTGTCTTGATTCCAGAAAATACTAAACATTTTCACTGAAAGGAGTATTGCTTGTAGTTATTGATTACAAAGGCTAGAGGTTGTCCCCATAGATCTTCAGAATGCTGGTTGCTGGAGAACAAGGAGATATCACCGCACTTAAGATTTGCTTATAGGCATCCCTAATTGTCTTAATTTGGGCATAGAAAGTTGAACTGGGTAAGACTGATCTTATCCAGCACAGCTGTTGCATTTCTTCAAATATTTGTAGCTCTGCTCAGATATAGAGGTCTATGGATGTTTTGCTCTTTCACACCAGATAATCCAAAACAAAAGGAGATTGTTTATTGCTTAGAAAAAATGAGAATTGAAGCCAAAAAGGGAAGAAAAGCTAAAAACAGTTTTTCCGATGAAATGTAGATGCTTGGCTGGCTTTAGGGTAGTTAGATCACCATCATTTCTATGATTTTTGTTCTTGTTTTTATAGACCTTGACATAAAAGGCAAGAAAGACCTTCTTTTCTATAAAAATGAAACCCAATTATTGTTCATATTCTCAGTCCTAGCACTTTCTTTTGTTCCATTTTTTTGATTATTAGAAGTACAAGGAATTTAGTGACTATAACATGCATGCAATGTAAATCCTATGGGTAAAACCTCTGAATTTCTTCATTTGACATTCTGTAATTCATCTTTTTTAGGAAGGAAGATGGAAACCCTTTGTTATCAAGCCCATTCCAGCACCTCTCATGAAGCCGCTGCTTGTGTTTGTGAACCCCAAGAGTGGTGGGAATCAGGTAAATCATTTATCCGATGTTATTTCTCAAATTCCATTGGCTCTCTTATAGCCTCCTTCAGCATATTTTCTTCCGTTCTTTTAGGGAACAAAGATATTCCAATCTTTTATGTGGTATCTCAACCCTCGGCAAGTTTTTGATCTCAGCCAGGGAGGTCCCAAAGAAGCGTGAGTAACAGTTAAAAGAGTCTGAACCACACACAAGTACATTTGTCATTTCCAACTGACACAGACAGACCTGAAATTATTGGGAAAATATTTTTTTTATATTTGCCTTGTAAAATAGGCAGAGTGGCACTTTAGAATTAGAACAGTGAATGATCTTAAAGAGTACTTAATGAGGTGACGTTGTTGAACTTCTGAGCGTAGATCTCAAGGCAACACAACTGAAATCCCCATACAAGTATTTTCAACTGTTTAAATTGAGATTCTCCATTGAGCTGCTCCATTGAGCAACCAGAAAGTGGGAGGTGCTTAGTCTCTGCTTGGATAGACTGGGCTAAGTTAGTAGGACACTGTTGCTCCTCCCTGGCTCCTCCCTAGCATCCCCCAGTTTTAGCTCAGCCTTTGATTTGATAGGCAGCTTTCCTTGGTTGGAGCAGGAACAAATTGAGGTGAATAGATTCTTCATATACAGATTGGCTTTTCAAAAAATTTTCTCCAAACTTCCTCAGCAGATCCGACTGCAATTCAAGAGAAGCATTCGGAACGATCGCGGATGGCCACTGATGTTCCGGCTGCATTTGCACCCATAAGGGCAGAGGCTTAGATCCCTGCCACTCTAATTTGGGAATTGTGCCTTTTTCAAAGTACGAAGCTTCCCTTTCCTTCGATCCACTTTCCCTGTGCCTCCGCCCTTGCCATTGCCTTTCCAAGCTTTCACGCCGTTTAACAAAGAGCGCGCTTTCTCTCAAACCTCGCCAGCGGCGATTCCTCCCCAAAAAGAATGCAGGGGAGGGGGTGTTGGAGCCCTGATTCTCCCCTATCCACCACTCATTGCATGATAGCTGTTTAGTAATTAGTTGGGCGGCGAGGTATTGCTGTGTTGGGCGCCAAAAATACATCTCTGCCACTTTAATCCAGGCACCATCCACCATTTTAAGCGCACACTTCCCAGGCCACAGGGCCAATACCACGTTGCATCATGGGGTCTTTGCTGGTGTTTTTCCCAGCCTACTGTTGAGAGGCTTTATTCCCCTCAAAACTCTAAACAAAGAGACCAGGGGAAAGAACAATTCTACTCCCTTTAGCTCCGGTTTGGGAGATTTGGCTTATTTGATCATCTCAGTATATTGAGGCATTAAGTACTTTTATTCAATCTATTAAATAGATAATATATACAAACAACAACAAGAACAACAATAATAATATAAACGCCTCAACTCTAGACATTGCATATAAAAAAAGGTGGGGGGGAGTATCGATTGGGTTCCCTGTCCCGGCTGTGGTACAGGAGCCCGGACATGCCAGCCATCCAGACGTGCCAACCGTGTATGTATGTATGTATGTATGTATGTATGTATGTATGGTATTTAAGTTTTTTGGGTATTTTCCCACGTCTTAATATTTGTGCTTTTATTATAGCGACGTTTTGGCAGAATCTCATCTGCCATCCTCAGGCTGAGGATGAGGATGGCAGATGAGATTCTGCTGAAACGTCGCTATAATAAAAGCACAAAAACTAAGATGTGGGAAAATACCCAAAGAAACCTAAATACCATACATATAAATACCCACGAAAACATAAGAATATATATGTGTGCGTGTGTGTATGTGTGTGTTTTAAGTTTTTGCAGGTACTTACATGTATGACATTCAGCTTTGTTTGGGTATTTTCCCACGTCATTATAGTTGTGCTTTTAAAGTTGTAGCAATGTTTCGGCAGAATCTCATCTGCCATCATCAGGCTTCTGTATTGTATTCGTCTGTGAGTCAGACTTCCACAGCCGTTTCAGTTTTAAATTTGGGGCTAGCCTACTGCTGTGCCAGAATGGTTTTGTCTTCATCCTGATTGGTTGGGAGTCTTGGTCTGTGTTTATTGGTCTTGGAGTTTGCTGTGTTCTGGTTGATTGGTGTTTCTAATATCTTCTGTCTGTTTTGTGGCTTTTTTGTGTCTTGATTCGCTGGCAACATTGTGTTTCCTGTATTGGAGGCTTTTAGTGCACCTTGGTTCTGAGTAAATGGACGGCTATCATTTGTTAGGAAGCTAGGTTTCATCTGGGTGCCTGATTGGGGTGTATTTGAGCTGGAGGTATCAGGGGGGATCTGTTTGTGCCCAGGTATTTGCCTGGCTTGTGGTGTGGAGATTTGTTTGTTTGTGAGTGTAGGCTTCCAAATAATTGACAGTCTGGTGGAATCATCTCTTCTATTCATGCTTTCATGTCTTTTTTCAATCTCTGTGGCTTCTCTAATAATTCTGTGGCTGGGTTTTTCTATAGTGGCTAGGGTTTTGGTGCCATTGAAGTCGATGCTATGACCCGATGCTTTCGTGTGTTGGACTAGTGAGGAAGTGTGTTCCAGCTTTTTTACTGCATTTTTGTGTTCATCCAGGCAGATACCTATTCTTCTATTGGTCTGTCCAATGTATGTGGCAGGGCATGATGCACAGGGGACTTCATATATGCCTTCGTTTTCCAGGTCTATTTTATCTTTGGGGTTTCTTAGGATGGCTGCTATTTTTCTGCCTGTTTTGAAGGCAGTCTTGATGTGATGCCTGTGTAGTATTTTACTGATTTTGTCTGTAGTACCTCTTATGTAGGGCAGGACAGCTGTTTCATAGGTCTATTCATCTTCTAGGTCTCCATTATGTCTCAGTGTGTTTTTGTGGATCAAGCCAGTGATTTTGCTTTTGTGGAAGCCATTAGCTGTCAGTACTTTAGTCAGGGTGCATAGTTCAGTCTTTATGTGTCTTGTCTGCCAGGCATTTGGTTCTGGCGATTAGTGTTTTGGCCACTGAGTTTATCTGTGCTGGGTGGTGGTGGGATTGGGCATTGAGGTAGCGGTTGGTGCATGTTTTCTTCTGGTATATGGTGTGTCCTAGTGTGCCATCTGTTTTTTTGTAGATTAGTACATCTAGAAATGGTAGTTGTTTGTTTCCGTTTCCATGGTGAACTTGATTTTGGGGTGTGTGCTGTTAGGAAATATATAATTATATATATGTGTGTGTATATAATACATACATACACACACACACACACACATACATACATACATACAGTCATATTTATATCTATATTTATAAAGTCACCTCATATCTCTGAGGTACTTTAGAGGATTGCAATGGCAAGCAGAAGTGGAGCCAAGGGACGGACCCAAGACAAGTCTAAAAGAGCTAAGGGTCCTTCAAAGGCTGCAGAGAAGGATGCCACCCGACACCAAAAAGCATTGGAAAAGCACATTGAAAGGCACACAAGGGAGGCTGAGAGGATTTCCCAGCCCCCCCCCTCCAACTCCACAACCTCAAATTCAATGCACCCCTATACCCTTAGACTTGTCCTTGCCATCTCGACCACCTGGTACCATAACATTAAGTGCACAGACTTCGAGATGAGCCCCTGCAGCAACCTTCACGACAACGGCGGCCAGTTTAAGACAGGAGGAGTTCCTTCCAGATGAGGTCCCAGAAACAAGGCATGGATGGAGTTGGGGATCCGCAGAGGAATTGCAGTGGGGGTGCAACAATCCCTCATGGCCAGACAGATCCCAGTGTCGGAATGTGACTCACAGTCAGTAAGATCTCTATGCAGAACTGACCTACATTATTCTCAGGTACCTCCCCAAGGGGAGCTTTCCTTGATTTCCCATATACATTCACAAGATGTTCAGGAGGAGGGAGAAGGAGAGGATCAAATGGACCAGGTAGACGCAGTCTCACTTCAAGATAGTGAAGCCTGCCTGGAGGCAGAGCCCCCAGAAAGAGGCCTGTCAGATAACGACATCAAGCCTGACCAACCTACTTTTACAGGTCTATTTCACCCACAACTTTTCAAATCACTCCTATTTAAGGCAAAAACCACAGCTCGTCTTGATAAGTCTCCCTCTGCCCAGCAACAAAAATCTCAAGAGCAATCAGAAGATCTAATTTTCTCTCAACCCATTAACCAGGTCGAGGTTATTCGGGTTCCACAAATGTTTTCAGATCTGATCCAGAAACAGTGGACCTCAGCAGCAATGTACCCACCCCCCACAAGCTTCAATAAAAACTTATTTAATTTAGCTTCAGACTTTTCCGATTCCCTGAGTACCCCTGAAGTAGATGAGCCTGTAGTGGCTTTGGCATCCTCCTCCACTATTCGCACTGAGGCGGAGAATGTTCTTAAACCAGAGGAGAAGAAAGCAGAGATCGCTCTCGGGAAGGCACATCAATCTGATGCATGGGCCATAAAGGCAGCAATAGCTGCATCCTTCTTTACTAGGACCTCCCTCAGATGGCTCTGTCACCTGAGGGACACCATACCAAATTCTAACATTAGGGCGCCTCAGGACATCGCCAAAATAATTTCAGCTGCACAGTTCTCTGGGGATGCTACATTTAATTCGGTCAAATTTTCGGCTCGAGTCATGGTATCGCAGATTACAGCCCGACAATTACTTTGGCTTAGACAGTGGCAAGCTGACTCCAAACACAAATGGAAACTTGCTTCTTCTCCAATTTCGGGTGATAAATTGTTTGGCGCTGCCTTAGATCTGCTAATTGAGACCAGAAGCAAGAAGAAGATTCTCCCTTCCCTCCTCCATCGTTCAGACACCAGGACTTATCAGCCCTTTCAGAGAGGCTCCTTTCGTCCCCATTATCAAGGTCCATTCTCCACTAGATTCCAGAGGGTACCAGGGTATGGGGCGCCCAACAGTCCAATAGACCGGAATTCACCGACAGATCTCGTAGGGGAGGACAGGAGCAGAGACCTTTTAGATAACAGGAAATAGAGGTTTCCATTGTCCAAGATAATTCCAGGGAACTTGCTCCCATTGGGGGACAATTAAGATTCTTTGCAGACTGTTGGGATTCCTCTACATCGGATTCCTGGGTTTGCGACACCATCAGATTTGGCCTGGCTCTAGAATTTCACTCCACACTCCCGAACCTTTTTATGCAATGTCATCTCTCCAGGGACCCAATTAAAAGGAGCCTGATGGAGACAGCGATCAATCACTCACTGGAAATTAAGGCCATTCAACCAGTATCCCGGGATCAGGAAGGCCAGGGATTCTACTCTCTTCTTTTTGTAGTCCCTAAGAGTTCGGGGGGATGGAGGGCAATACTAGATTTAAAATGACTCAACTGTACTCTAGTCTATCGCAAATTTAAAATGAGTACGTTGCAATCCATCCTGCTTGGCATAAGGGAGGGCAATTTTTTATCTTCCACCAATCTGACAGAGGCCTACTTACACATACCAATTAGACCTTCTCACTCCACATTTCTTAGATTCTGCTATAACAATCAACATTTTGAATATGTCGCCCTGCCCTTTGGGTTGTCATCTGCCCCAAGGACCTTTACAAACGTTCTGGCGGCCCTAGCCACCTTCGGGGTATTCTGTCAGACTCCAATGCTACTTGGTGACATTTTGATATTATCTTCCTCACCCAGACAGGCAGAATTGGATACGCAAATTACTTTGTGAACCCTTCAACAACATGGTTTCTCCATTAATTGGGCAAAGAGACATTTATCCCCCTCAAGTCGCTTATCTCACCTGGGTTCGATAATAGACAATGTTCAGGGACTAGTGTTTCTATCCCCTGAGAGGCAGGAGAGCATCAAGAACTTAGCTCAAACTATCAGAACCCTAAAACAGGTTCCTCTGGCCGATTTGTCAAAATTACCGGGAAAGATGTATTTCTATTATTCCTTGGGCCCGGTTCCGTGTGAGGTCACTCCAATGGTTTTTGCTTCCCTACCAAAGATCAGGGCAAAGCAACTCCAAGATCCGAGTATTTGTTCCAACAAAAGTCCTACTCTCTCTACACTGGTGGACCGTTCCTATCATCAACAAAGGTTATCCACTGAAGAAGCCCCACAGACTCACCATCACCACAGATGCCAGCCTGTTTAGTTGGGGAGCACACGCAAGGACATTGGTCAGCAGCAGAACAATTGAACAGCATAAATTGGTTGGAGCTCAGGGCAATCCATCTGGCCCTTTGCAGTTTCCTTCCTCATATTCGAATGAGAAACATCCTCATACTTACAGACAACATCACAAAAAAAGCACACGTGAACAGACAAGGGAGTACACACTCAAAACAACTCATGGGGGAAGCAGAGAGACTGTGCCGTTGGGCGGAAAGGAACTTGGGCTCCATCACAGTGGAACACATTTCAGGACTGACAAACACACAAACAGACTGGCTGAGCAGGGCCACAGTCGATCAATCAGAGTGGTGCCTGCACCCGGATCTGTTTCAGGAGATGATTCAGAGGTTTGGTCTGCCAGTTATAGATCTGTTCGCTTCTCCCCTAAACTTGCAGCTCCCCAGATTCATTTCAAGATACCCATCTCAGGGGGTGGAGAACATCAACACCCTCCGTTGCCAGTGGCCCCAGGGACTCCTCTACGCCTTCCCACCTCTCCCATGATACCCAAGGTGATCCAGAAGCTGCTAGACGAGAAAGCAGAACTGATCTTGGTGGCACCACACTGGCCCAGGAGGCCATGGTTCGCAGATCTCAGGGGCCTGTCCATAGAAGAACCATGGAAAATTCCACCGCATAAAATTCGGCTCACTCAGGGACCAATCCAACACCCGAACCCTCAATGGTTACAATTAGCCGCTTGGAAGTTGAGCTGAGACATCTAAGTAAGGAGAATTTCTCGACCAGGGTGATCAACACCATTCAAGCAGCTCGGCGTCCTTCTACGAGTCATATATATAATGCCACATGGACTATCTTTTATAAATGATGCGCCAAATCCAATGTGGACCCATTTTCGCCATCAGTGGCACAAGTTTTAGAATTTCTTCACGATGATCTAGAGAGGGGACTCTCTAACATCCATCTCCCACCACCCACAGTTTTCTTAGAGGTGCCACAAATTTATGTCCACCAATGATACATCGTTACCCCACCTGGGACCTTAATAAGGTAGTCACAGCACTCACTAAGAGTCCATTTGAACCTCTGAAAGTCTCTATTTCTATTTATCTACTACTAGTCTCTATTTTCTTACATACAAGATAGTGTTCCTCGTAGCTATAACATCAGTACAACGTATCTCTGAAAGTTGCAGCTTTAAAGCTGAGCTTTATCAGCCCAGAAGGACTTCTGTATCTTCCATTCTGACAGAGTGGTTCTTCAACCAGACCCCACGTTCACACCAAAAGTCAATTCGACCTTCCCAGGGCACAAGAACTGATCCTCCCAAATTTTTGCCCCAAACCTTCTCAGGGTCTAGAGCATCAATGGCACTGACTGGATGTCTGCAGAGCTCTCCATACGTACCTACATTGAACAGCTCCTTTCAGGAAGACAGAAGCCGTTTTTGTATCTTTTCAGCCAACTACTTAGGGACAGAAAGTATCTCCTTCAACTATAGGCAGATGGCTGAAGGCCACAATAGCCAAGGCATACGAGACTCAATCATTACCTGTGCCTAGAGGCATCACGGCGCATTCAACAAGGAGTGTGGCAACTTCAGTGGCCTGGGCCACACAAGTTCCTATAACAGAAATCTGTAGAGCGGTGACATGGGTCTCCCCATCACCTTTCATTAGACATTACAAAATTGATGTATTTGCTTCTGCTGAGATCTCCTTTATAGGAGGCTGTTACGAGTCCACTCAGACAGCAAGGGGGCTCCAATCCAGATGGAGACCTTCCCTTAGGACAAGTGAAAGCTTTGGTATGTCCCACTCTCGGGATGCTCGGAGCAGCTCAATGGAGAAAGGTACTTACCTGATACGCCCATTCTCAGTGACCTGCGATGAGCATCCAGCCCCACCCAGTATCTGTCTGGTGGGGTTCTGTTCTGGCCAACAATAAATCTGGATATACACAACAAACAAAAACATGACAATATAGAGGATGGGGGTTGCATCACCTCGTCTCTGCCAAAACTGGGGGATGCTAGGGAGGAGCCAGGGAGGAGCAATAGTATCCTACTAATTAAGCCCAGCCTATCCGAGCAGAGACTAAGCACCTCCCACTCCGGAAGCTCATCTCAGCTCACTGAGAATGGGCGTATCAGGTAAGTACCAATGTCCTTTTTCAACCACTGACATTCATGCTATCTCCTAGCTACTGAATAGTGCCCAATAAAAGGGGAAATGCTGGTAGAAAGGAGAGAAGAAGAGGAGCAGAGTTAGTAAAATTAAAAAAAGGTAGAATTTTACCAGGGGCCCTGAAGATTGAATCAGCTATTCTATAAATTACATCTGGCTTTTGCACTGGAGCTTCCCCATTGTCTGCTCTAGATCAGCGGTCACATACCGGCTGTTCTGCTATGCCGGGAGATTTAGATCACTAGGAAGCAGGAAATGTTTGGATTTCTTGCTTTCTAGCTAGTCTTTAGATCTTCTTTTAAGCAGAGCCGAACCTCCTTTAGGACTGAAGGTTGCAGGAACTGAACTGCACTATTCAGTGCAGACTCACAGCAAGCAAATTTTATGTGACAGACTGAGCTAGCCGATGGCAGATAGATAGATCTCTGAATGAATCTGTGATTCTATGAGCCTACCTGCTTTGCCTGATTTTGGGTAAAAGTTGCTCTTTTTTAATAAAAAAAATCAATATTTATATAAATATTTATAATATTTACATACAAGCCATGCCCAGCCAGTCACATGACCACCAAGCCACACCCACAAATTAGGCCACGCCCACAGAACCAGTTAGTGTTCCCTGGGATTTAAAATTATGAGTTTGGTGGTCCCTGAGGTCCAAAAGGTTGGCAACCCCTGCTCTAGATGGTGCTTTGAAGTGGGGTACTAAGCACGATACTGAAATAAGCTACTTCAATACATTTTCTAGCTGGACACCTTTCTGCTCCTTGGAAGAAGAAAAATCTTATTCCATTAAACTAACAGCCAGAGAGAACATACACAGTTCAAACTACAAACCTTTACTCCCTATCACTCATTTTTCATTACTTGGGTATATGTCGCTTCTTTCAGATATGGAGACAATGCTGAAGAATTATTCTAAAGATATGTTTTTAAAATTTATTTTTTACTTGAACTAAATACAATTTCTAAAAATACCCTATGGAAATGTGTATATCCCACAGATTTTTTTTTTTAGGGTGGGGGAAGGAGGAATGAGGTTCAATAGATAAAAATAAGTGATGCTTACTCTGGGTTTTGTGCAGATTGGAGTTGTATCGTAAAGTGCACAACTTACGGATTCTGGCATGTGGAGGAGATGGTACAGTAAGTGGCTATGTCCCCTTTCCTGTGTGATAAGCTGTGATAAGGTAGATCTGCATCAGTAGCAGAACCTGGATCAGTATCCAGATAGTTCTGTTGCACTGAGTTATGTATGAAGAATTGTCCACCAAATTACTAAATACAGCCATATGAATTCAGGGCTACCTGTTCAAGGATACAGAGCTGTTTACATTTTATCTAAAGCTAATTCAGCAATGTATTAGAAATGGACATTTCTATGAGCACTGTCTATATGACTGGTTGATTTATATTAGTTCTTGGCCTATGACGTTTTTAACTTCTGGAGGATATAATATTTTGTTATGCTGTGGCCCTGCAGTCCTATCTAAATTGTAGTCCTGTCTAAATTGTAAGCCAACAGTTGTAATAAATATTCCTTTGAATTTATTTTGGTTGGTTGTTGGGTTAATTTAATAAATAGCATAGCCCCTGAGAAAGCCTGCCATCTTTTGTAACTCTTCTTTTTATGTTTTTTGGGCTGGCTCTGGTGGATGTGTGTATATATATATATATATATAAAAATGCAATAAATAGCTGAAGCAACTGAGCAGATATAGGAAATTGCAGCAAAAATTCTGTCTGAATCTGTTATGTTTTTCCTGGCTGAGTAGGTGGGATGGATCCTGTCAATTTTGGACCAGTTACGCCTGAACCCTCCACCTCCTGTGGCCATTCTTCCTTTGGGGACAGGAAATGACCTAGCAAGAACACTGAACTGGGGTGGGGTAAGAATTTGCCAACTCATTACAAGTTTTGTATAAGGCTATGTTCCAAGTCAGCACTGCAAACGACACTAAGTAGATAGAAGGGAAGTTCTTTGTTTCCATTACCTTGTCTCAGTTCTCACAGACAACATGTCAACCCACAGGGATATACTGATGAACCATTGTCAAAAATCCTGTCTCATGTAGAAGAGGGGGAAATTGTGCAACTCGATCGCTGGAATCTACAGGTAGACCCCAAACCTGAGGGAAATCTAGAAGAGAAGGATGAAACGGCCACAGATAAGGTGAGCCTCGGAGCTATCATCACTAAGTTAATACTAATGTCATATCCAGATAAATCAGTTGGTCGGTCTCACACATGACATGTTGTACTTCATAATTTATTCCATAAATGGTCAGGTATAATTTGATATGAGTTAAATATAATGAGAAATCTTCTGTGACATCATAGAAAATATAACTTGCTCTCTAGCTAACTTTAACAATACGGAGCCTGTGTGACAAGTGTGGGGCAACAGGAAGAAGTCAATTCTAAAAATGAAGATGGAAAAAAATGGTTGCAAAAAGGGTCAGTAAACATAATCTAAATCTAGTAAAATAGATAATATTCTCTAGAATCTGCCATTTGTCCTTTTAATGTGCAATGATTATCCTTAAGCATAGAGCAGCTTACTGTCATAATTCATCATAAGTACAGTAGAACAGAATTTTCAGTTCTGTATTCAGCTGTAGGAAGCCTAGCTGTGATGTCCTAGTTAGATCAGATGTAAGCAATCAAAATGATAGCACACTTACCATGTAGAAGTTTTATTTGAATTTGACTGTTTATCAAACTTGTTTGCGGCCCATTTCACCCTAGGCGGTTTACAGGGAGTTACTGATGATACTCAAATCTTTTCCTGTGAAACAGTGTCAGGTGATAGCATATCTCCACTGAATAGAATAGATAAGGGATAATAAATGGAAACTGTCCTCAGAAAAAGTATAGAAGTTATTACGATGCAATCTGGTGCACTTCTGGAACCAAATGTCTCTGGTTTTCAAGGTTGGGATAATAAATCGTAGCACCTTTTTTATCAAAGAGAATGAAGTTGCTGCCCCTTACTCTTTCTGACTAAATTGAAAAGTCAGAAAGACCAGCGAATAGAATGCTTTTGTTAAAATAAAGCTCTTTATGTGATATAGAGAGCCTTAATAAAGTAGGTTTCCAGATTTCACAGTTAGCAGGTCTACTTGCATCCAGGTATACAAAAGGACTTCTGTTCCTGGGCTGAAAGTTTGATGTGAGAGAGAAGGGGCTGGAGTCATTGTGAATGTCCTCTCCCCAGTTGAAACCCTCTACCCGTCCATCTGAATGCTATTGTGAATGGAAAAACCGAGGACGAAATGCTTTAAGCTATTGCCAGTTCTTCATTACTTTACTCCAATTTACTCTTGCAAAGAACTTCCCATTGTCTGGAGTTTCAGATTCCAAACGCATCCTTGGAATTCGGAAAGATGGTAGGTTGGAGTAGAAAAACGAAACAGCTTTCCTTTTGAAGCATGATTTAAACACAAATACGTGGGGTGCCTAGTTTGGCTCTAAGAATTTTTTTCTCATTGTTCAGAATCCCAGTGACTTAAGAGTCTCAGCTAAAACAGCTTTTGTGAGAATCTCAGTGAACACATGATTTGGTATTACAAGTAGTCCTTGACTTAGGTCCACAATTGAGTCCAGAATTTATGTTGCTAAGTGAAACATTTCTTAAGTGAGTTTTGCCCCGTTACGACTTTTCTTGCCACATTTGTTAAGTGAATCACTACGGTTGTTAAATTAGTAACCCAGCTGTTAAGTGAACCTGCGTTCCCCGTTGACTTTGCTTGTCAGAAGATCGCAAAAAATGATCTCATGACTCCAGGACACTCCAACCGTCATAAATAGGAACCAGTTGTCAAGCATCTGAATGTAAATCACATGACCATGGGGATGCTGCACCAGTCATAAGTGTGACAAATGGTCATAAGTCACTTTTTTTCAGTAACATTGTAACTTCGAGTGGCCACTAAACAAACTGTTGTAAGTCAAGGACTACCTGTATATGGTATTCTCATAGAGAAGTTTCTGAATTCAGAATTTCATTTTCATTCAATAAATATCAGAAGAAACTTTAACAAATGATGGAGAAGAGGTTTATATTCACAGTTCTAAACTGCCTTTTTTTTTTAATTCCATACATATATCTGTATACCAAAAATCTCATTCTGTCTTTCAGTCCTAAGTTAAGTGTTCTGTTTGTCTATTTCAGCTCCCTCTGGATGTCTTCAACAATTACTTCAGCCTTGGTTTTGATGCTCGAGTGACACTGGAATTCCACGAATCTCGAGGTAAATGTCAATGTGTCTGATACCGTCAAAAGTTTATACTTTGGAAATTATGCTAGGGCTTATGCTGATTGCTTGAGAAATGCTTACAACTTTGACTGCGGAGGAGCTAAAGTCAGAAAGGTTGTAATTGAATTTATAAGACCAGGGAGGGAGGGAAAAGAAAGCGACTAGGAATTAGAAGCAATTGCCTCAGAAAAATAATGAATGCCTTTCCAGGAGCAAAAATACATATTGTTTCTAATGCTAGTGGGAGGGACTCAGCTTCCTGAGAACCAGTGACTCATAATAACGGATAATTAACTTCTTTTTCCAGAGGCCAATCCAGAGAAATTTAACAGTCGATTTCGGAATAAAATGTTCTATGCTGGGGTGAGTTCATCAGGATGCATGCCCCAGTCTTCACTTCCTACTTTTCTCTTGATATGCCCCCCCCCCCAAGCTATTTATTATAGATAGCAACCTTTCCCAAGTTGGCATCCTCCAGATGTGTTGGCATCTCATTTCCCTAGAAATACCAGGAGTTCCACTCTTCGTACATGTGGAGGCATTCTGAGTTGGGAAAAGGTGCTATTGGTTTCCTTAGGAATGTATGTAGGGAAAAAAATACTTTATCTGTATTGAAAAATCTGTACTGGTACAACTAGATTGACATTTCCAAAATTTGAGAATTAAGTGAGAGAGAGAATTTGGCTTATGTATATGAGAAAGTAGTTTTCCTGCTTTGTCTGGGAAAGAAGTTTGAATAATTCTGTTGCAATTAGTATTGAGTCAAAGCTTTGTACAAAGTGTTTTTTTATGTAAAATAAGGGGTGAAGATTGTCAGCATAATGAAAGAAGAATATCCAGAAATATTCAAGGGCAATCAACTTACAGGTAGCAGCTTTTCCCTTTCTAAATGTAACTTTGCTATCTCCAGTAAGATGGCAAGACTTTTTTATGCCCTGAGAGGGGACTATGAAAGTGGGAGACATTGTGCAATGTAGCTCAGCCAGGGAGCAAGGATAGTGGGATGGGACTTGATTATGCCCTTAGAAATTAACCCAGATCATGTATAATAGGGACTAGGTACCATCTATGAAGTAGAGAACAGAATGAAAGATGGTAATGTTGGATAATTGCATGTGAAACATTCCCACTTAAACGGATATCATACCCTGTCATTTACACTGAGATTTAAAATGAGGTAATTTTCTGAAATTTGCCCTCAGTCTTCCCTTTCTGTTGAGAACCAGGTAGGCAACTCTGAACTGTTTCAATTTTTCTTCTATTTGTAGACAGCATTCTCTGATTTTCTCATGGGGAGCTCTAAAGACTTAGCAAAACACATCAAAGTGGTGGTGAGTATATTATAGTACAGTTGGGTTCTTTCAGTTTATTGGAGAAAACAAGGTTATTGGCTTGGATAATTAGTTTGATCTGCTGATGAAGTTGGTTATTATGGAAAATATTGACAGGATAAATTATTCCCAGGCCAAGTCTGAGGGAAGAAAAAATTGGCTGTCCCATAGAGAGGATAGGATTTTGCTTGTTGCTTCTTGCCTTTGATACTGACTGCTTGTTCTCTTTTAAAAAACAACACCAACAATACAGTGTGATGGAACAGATCTGACTCCCAAGATCCAAGATCTTAAGCCTCAATGCCTCGTCTTCCTAAACATTCCAAGGTAGGCTGTTACATTGACTGCCAAAAAAAATAAGTTGTTGCTTTTCTGCTGCATTCCCAATTTTCTAAACTCCTCCCTGTGTTTTCAGTTGTAGCAGTTCATTTTTCTCCCTTCCTTCTTATGCATAGGTACTGTGCAGGCACTATGCCTTGGGGCAACCCTGGAGAGCATCATGACTTTGAACCCCAACGCCATGATGATGGCTGCCTTGAAGTCATTGGCTTCACCATGACCTCTCTGGTGAGTAAGCCCAGCTGTTCTGACTTTTCACTCCTGTCTGCCTAAGTAGCCATATTGTTAAAGTACATTCATGCATAAATTTCCTTTGTATACTTGGGGAGCATCGAAGTATTACTTACAGGCACAACAGAAATTTCTTTCACTGTACGTCTCAGTTGACACCCAGAATAGCTGAGATGAACTAAGTAATCACAAAATATAATTAATAGGTAAAAGTACCAACCTTTTATTTGTTGAGCAGATAACAACCTGCTTAAGAGTAAACAATGGAACATTTGGTTTTTGCAATTGTTGATTTGGGGCCTATTTCTATGTCCCTTGCTGTATTCCAGACTGGACCTTCACCACTTTCATTTTGGATGGCTAAATTAGGTTCCATTCATTTCAGTTGTACTTCATTTTGCAATGGAAATTGTCAGGACTGGAAACCCAAGATAGATTAGATTCACATGTTTGGAAACCACTGAGATTAAAGCCCAATCAGTATTAACCCGCTGCGCTAGCAATTTATGTTGTATGAAGAGGTGCCATTGCATTAGTGCAAAATATGATTGCTAGGACTGAATTAATATAAAGATTCAACAGGGATTTACTATTATGTAAAAGTAAAAAGTTGAGGTTTGATGTTAATGCCTTTTTCTACTGCACCAAAGGGAGTTGGAAGTTAGTGCCTTTTTTTTCTTTTTTCCTCCCTTGCTTTCCCTCACTTTTCTTTTTCTCTTTCCCTTCCCTACTATTTACTTTTGTATTTTCTTTGTATGCTATATTATAAACGAACAAGAAAATGGTTAAACAAGAGATTCAGCAGGGACCAAAGGGTTAAAAGCCTAATAAAGCTACCAAAGAACACCTTGATAGTTTGATCCTAAGTGCATGAGTTTGCAAATGGTATGTCTGGGGATATAAGGCTGAGAAATGCTCCTAAGATTTTTGAACATCACTGTTATAGTGCAACTCCATATACCATTGGGAATCAGCTGCAGTACTTTGAGTTAGTAGAGTGGAAACTGCAGGCAAACCAAGCTCTCTGACACATTCAGAGAAACTTTCTGATGGAATGAGCTAAGCCCCAATAATTTATTGTCTCCAAGCAGGTGATTTATTCTGTCCAAAAGAGCAAGGGAATCAGGCTACATGTCCTTTTACATTCCTTTCCAATTGTATAATTCTGTGACACATTTCATGACTCCTGAGTATTTCAGGCCATAGGTTGGACCATGCTATGCATGTACAAAGGGTTCTTCAGAATAGATTGAACCGAAACTGAAACCCATTTTGAGACCCAGCTGTAGTTTATATGATTTCTATTGGAGTGAACTATATTTAATCCATTTACTTCATCCTCTTTGTTCTCTAGGCAGCACTGCAAGTGGGTGGCCATGGAGAGCGGCTGCACCAATGCCGGGAGGTGGTACTCACCACATCCAAAGCCATCCCCATGCAAGTGGATGGGGAACCTTGTAAGCTGGGAGCTTCCTGCATACGCATTTCACTGCGCAATCAAGCAAACATGGTGCAGAAGACCAAGAGGAGAAACTCCATGCCTGTATTGAATGAGTATGTACTCTAGGGGGGAATCTTCCCAGCTTTGGTACAAGCAAGAAAGGAGGTGTCACCAGTTCACAGTATTCAGCTTTGCTACAGTTTCTCTTGGATTTCAATCCTATCCCAAACTCTAAGGCTCAATGTCAGGGAAGGTTCTAAGGCTATAAGACAGTTTTGTAGCTCTCTGAAATTTTAGCCAATATTTTTAATTTAATTTTGAGTAATCATTACTTTATTTTAAGTAGGTTCTTATGACAAGTTGGAAAGCATTAGCCGGTGAAGGCTATATAAGACATTATGAAATCAAAGAGAATTACGTTCTCTGCCAGTAGTGTAAAAGATTCAGCAACTATTCTCTACTTAACCCGTTAAATCCAAAAAAAATTGTAGGCAAACACAATGTTCTCTTCAGATGCCTTTATTTGGAAGATTAAAGTTGTTCCAGATTCCTAGTAATCAAACAAAAGAAAAATCGAGGAAGGGATGTTACGTGTATGTTACAAATAGGTTTCTGATGATTGCCCTATTATCAGAATAAGCTGGGGAATGGAGAGTAATTTTATTAATTCACTGACATTGATAATTACATATTTTGGGAAATGTTAGCACGAGGTCCCCAACGTTCGGTCCATGGACCAGCACCAGGCCACAGCATGCCAGAAATTGGGCCACACAAACAAGCAAAACCCTATCCACAGAATGCAGCAACACATGAAACCATGCCCCCTCCAGTCTGAAGAAAAACCGCCCTCCACTGATCCCTAGTGTCCAAAAAGCACGTTAGCAGCTTCTTTCTTGGGATGGATGAGCCTACAAATGATACCTACAAAATTGCAGGTCGGGGGAAAATAAATATATCTCTTTAAGCAATACTTCCTATTGTCTGGAGGGCAAATATACTGTAGCTTGCATTCATTCCCCTGTTCCCCATTTGAAATGACAGTGATAGATTGTCAATATCTCTCTTCCTATTTAGCCTTATCCCAGTAGATAAAAATGTTCATACTGTAGTTCTATTGCCTATCTGCATTGTCCAGGTGAGTTTTTCTTCATAGCTATCAAACATTTCTCTCAGGGTGAAACTAGGTGTGCAACATGCAGCTGTTGAGCTTGCTTTTTCACAACTAAGAGAAGTTTGTTAGAAATGTGACACATTAAGGTTATTGTTGCTGTTAGGAAATATTGTTAGAAAATATTGCCTGTCAACTTCTCAATCAGTAGCATCTCCTCTTCTTTTTTGTACACAATAGCGTTGTCCTCTCTACCTTTTCAAACATATATGCTTCATTTTTTTCAGTCAACAACCAATTCCAGAACGGTTAAGAATCCGCGTAAGCCGAATTGGCATGCATGACTATGAGGCACTTCATTATGACAAGGAAAAACTCAAAGAAGCTTGTAAGTAATTTGTTTAAATAGAAGGGCCAAGCACCCTACAGGAACATCTGGCATTTGCAGCTGTTTCATTATTGTACTCACTTTCTCTCAATATCTGGCATAAGATGTTAAAATAAGACCTCTTTTAGCCTTTGTGATACATTGTAATACTGAATAAGATAAATATTAAAAGGGCCTTGCATCAGAATGTGAGGAATGTCACACTTTTAGAAAAAAGTGTTTAGTCCACAATGTAAATCCCTGAAAATTTTCCCACATAGAGAAGTTTTTTCCATCAGAAGTGCTGATGACCTAGCAGTTTCTCATGGGTCTATGAGCCAAAGTAAAATACTTGGCACATTAAGCAATCATAACAAATGTGGTTAGCAGGCAAAAGTAATTGCATATTCTTTTTACAGCCGTGCCTTTAGGAATTATCGTGGTTCCAGGAGACAGTGATTTGGAATTATGCCGGACCCACATTGAAAGGCTTCAAGAGGTGAGTTGCCAGATAAACTATTGTAAGGGAAAAGTGCAATTTTGCTGCATTTATGACTCATCAGACAGCATACCGCAGTCGTATCCTTCCTTCACTGGTTATCTGTACTTCCATAATGATAATGATTTTCTTGTTTTGAAGTCAAAAGCAAAGAATAGATAAGATAACAGATCATCAGAGCTGGAAGGGATTTTGTAGGTCATCTAATCCAACCCCCCTGTCCAAGCAGGAGACCCGACACCATTTCTGACAGATGGGAGTCCAATCTCTTCTTGAAAGTCTCAAGTAATGACGCTCCCACAACTTTTGAGGTGTTCCATGAGATAAATTCTTGTTGCCAGTTCACTGCACATAAAAAAGGGAAGAAACTTATTTTTATTTAAATTCAGGAATTCTTCCTCACATGCTCTGGCAAAGAATTTAGGCTGAGCTGAATTTGTATAAATTTGTATACAGGAAATATGTGGACAAAACAAGGAGTAACAAATCCAGATGGGGTCACTGATTTCTGGGGGAGGCATGGCAAACTGAAAATACTTTTGGAATAACAGGGCTGAATACCATGAACCATTGATATGATACAAATCAAAGAACCATTGAAAGGCGTCAAGAGTGGAGTAGACCTGTTTTTCAGAACCTCCCCAGACAAGGAGAGGATAAGAGATCACTCACATTTGTTCCAGGTGGCAGCTCCTTACAAGGTGACCACAACAGCAATCTTCCCCAGGTTACAGTGCTGGGAGACAAAAGGATTAGCTATCTTGCTTGCAGCCACAGTGGAACCTTTTAAAGGACACAAAGTTCACAAGCTTCACTTTCTAATTTTTTTAAATTGCCCTATTAACCATCTTAAAACTGTTTGAAATGACATTTGAAATGACAAACCTGGAAAGTTGTCGAGGAAGTAGCTACAACTCTGAATAAGATAAAAATTAATTACCATCTTAAGAACTAACAGAATTTGAAATAAACAGTAAAAACTAAACAAGATTTTGATATGAGAAAGTTATAAATGGAGTTAGGATAAATATATTTGGAATATTTGGACCTTAACTATAAAATTTTGGAATAAAGTATAAAAATATAGAGAGCTTCTGATGATAACTACTGTAGAATTATTTTGACTATCTTGATTCTTAAGTAACTTTATGATTTTAGAAATTGAACTCCAGAGGATTCTACTTAGAAAGATTTTAAGTAGAAGGGGAAAAAATACAAGCCAACTTAACTTACAAAATGACACAAAACATCGTAGTACTTGGAAATACTCAATAATTTTAAAGAATGGAGCCAGAATTTAGTAGCTAGTGTCAGTAGTAATGTCTGATTATATGGATAAATTAGGTTCAAAGATTCAGTGAGGGAATGGCAGATGAGGAACAAGTTTTGTCTGACAAAACAGAAAAAGTAGCAAAAGTGAAACTACAAATGATAGGAATGATTTGGAAAATGATGTTTGAATGTGTGTGTGTGTGTGTTTGTTTGTTTGTATTTCCCCTTTAATTTTTAAAAATTCAGCCTCATTTAAATACACATATGCTAACTTATTTATTTATTTATTTGAATGAGGCTGAATTTTTTTAAAATTAAAGGGAAAATACAAATGACAGCCAAGAGAAAGACCTCGAAAATGTTTTCTTACTGAATCTACAAAAGAAGTTTGTTAAATACTTGAAGAAGTCTATACAATGGAATAAAGGACTGAAGAGAAATAGAATCTTTTGAATGAATTCAAGAACAAGACTGTTTGAAATAAATATAAAGTTGGTTTATTCGTTCAAAGTTAAAATAAGACATTTATTATGGCAAACCTTTACAGACCTTTTGCTTTCACCAACATTGAAAAGTTGATGTTTATATGCATTTGCTTATAAATAAGGGATTAGATATGGGATGAAGTGATAAGTACCTATAACATTATAGGGGGTGAAATTGTCTATATTGTAGTAAAGGTTGGAAGTCACTTCTTTGCATTTTTCTTTTCCTTATTTTTTCCTTGTACTTTTCATTCTTATTATTTTCTTCCTTTAATCCTAGTTTGTGTTAGTTTTAACTATTGTGATCAAAATCCTTAAGAATTATATGTAAAAAAAAGAGAAAGAAATCCAGATAGGGTATGCAGCATAATACACTGCTCAAAAAAATAAAGGGAACACAAAAATAAGACATCCTAGATCTGAATGAATGAAATATTCTTATGAAATACTTTGTTCATTACATAGTTGAATGTGCTGACAACAAAATCACACAAAAATTATCAATGGAAATCAAATTTAGCAACCCATGGAGGTCTGGATTTGGAGTTACACTCAAAATTAAAGTGGAAAAAAACACTACAGGCTGATCCAACTTTGATGTAATGTCCTTAAAACAAGTCAAAATGAGGCTCAGTAGTGTGTGTGTGGCCTCCACGTGCCTGTATGACCTCCCTACAATGCCTGGGCATGCTCCTGATGAGGTGGCGGATGGTCTCCTGAGGGATCTCCTCCCACACCTGGACTAAAGCATCCCCCAACTCCTGGACAGTCTGTGGTGCAATGTGGCGTTGATGGTTGGAGTGAGACATGATGTGCTCAATTGGATTCAGGTCTGGGGAACGGGCGGGCCAGTCCATAGCATCAATACCTTCATCTTGCAGGAACTGCTGACACACTCCAGCCACATGAGGTCTAGCATTGTCCTGCATTAGGAGGAACCCAGGGCCAACCGCACCAGCATATGGTCTCACAAGGGGTCTGAGGATCTCATCTCTAATGGCAGTCAGGCTACCTCTGGCGAGCACATGGAGGGCTGTGTGTCCCCCTAAAGAAATGCCACCCCACACCATTACTGACCCACTGCCAAACCAGTCATGCTGGAGGAAGTTGCAGGCAGCAGAACCTTCTCCATGGTGTCTCCAGACCCTGTCACGTCTGTCACATGTGCTCAGTGTGAACCTGCTTTCATCTGTAAAGAGCTAGTGGCGAATTTGCCAATCTTGGTGTTCTCTGGCAAATGCCAAACGTCCTGCACGGTGTTGGGCTGTAAGCATAACCCCTACCTGTGGACATCGGGCCCTCATACCACCCTCATGGAGTCTGTTTCTGACCGTTTGAGCAGCCACATGCACATTTGTGGCCCGCTGGAGGTCATTTTGCAGGGCTCTGGCAGTGCTCCTCCTGTCCCTCCTTGCACAAAGGCGGAGGTAGTGATCCTGATGCTGGGTTGTTGCCCTCCTACAGCCTCCTCCACGTCTCCTGATGTACTGGCCTGTCTCCTGGTAGCTGGACACTACACTGACAGACACAGCGAACCTTCTTGCCACAGTTCACATTGATGTGCCATCCTGGATGAGCTGCACTACCTGAGCCACTTGTGTGGGTTGTAGATTCCGTCTGATGCTACCACTAGAGTGAAAGCACCGCCAGCATTCAAAAGTGACCAAACCATCACCCAGAAAGCATAGGAAATGAGAAGTGGTCTGTGGTCACCATCTGCAGAACCACTCCTTTATTGGGGATGTCTTGCTAACTGCCTATGCTTTCCACCTCTTGTCTATTCCATTTGCACAACAGCATGTGAAATTGATTGTCAATCAGTGTTGCTACCTAAGTGGACAGTTTGATTTCACAGAAGCGTGATTGACTTGGAGTTACATTGTATTGTTTAAGTGTTCCCTTTATTTTTTTGAGCAGTGTAATTTAATCCATCTGAACTACCCAAAGGACTTAAGTGATAGGAGATGTGTAAATATCCATAATCAATAAAAATGTAATCTAGAGATAATCTAGATTATAATCCTGTTATAATCTAGAGAGCTAACTACTCAAGTGGATGGATAAGGGAAAATAAGTACATAATTATTCTCATATCATTTAATATCCTCAAAGAAACATTCCAAATGAAGTTTTAATCCTACTTGATTTGTAATAACAGAGACGAATGCTTTCCACAATGACTCAGTCTCAGATCCAGAAAGAACTTCAGTTGGGAGAGATTTCTGAATGTTATTTTTCTTGTTTATTCTGCCTTCATCTAAAAAACCCATAAAAGACCTGCCTTTAGGTCTAAGATAATTGAATTTGAATTTAAAATCAGAAAATATTTTTAACCAATGTTCCAAATTCTCTTTCAACAGAATCATCCTGCTTTTTTCCTCCTTTAGCTTGCAGTTTGAGAGTATGGTATGCTTTTTTTAGAAAGGGCATACCCCTTTCTAGAAGGAGCAGCTTTTTCTAATTTGGTGGCTTCAAGTAATGTTCCTATCCAGCTCAACTAATTGCCGTTCATCTGGGACACTAAGTTTGGGAAGGTTGCCCTTAAAACTAGATTTACAGAAAAATACAAAATAAAATGGGTATTTGTTTAGTTCTAATCCCTCTCCTTCCTGCTCTCTCTTTCTTACATTCTGGATTCATTCTTTGTCTAGTACTTGAGTATCAACCAGGTAATGAAGAATGCAGATGTTCAGGCTAGAAGAGTCCCAAAACTTTACATCTCTCAGTTTCTTCAGATAATTGGGACTATTATGGAAAGGAAGAGTTCTGAAACTGGTTCATTTAGTGGCAACCTATGATAGAGGTAGTGATAGTGCAGTCCTTGAATTATCAGGATGGTGTTTTTAAGCACTTAGGTTCTACTACCTACAGTTCCTGTCTTCAAAGTCTCCTTATGACTTGAGACAGTTGGCCCACAGAGGCTCCTCCGTGGAATGGCATGCACCTGCAGATTTCAGTGAGAGCTTATTGAGGGGAGGGTGCCATCAACATTTCAGAAGTGTTTTGCCATTGCCTCCTTCCTAGGGCTGAGAAGGTGTGGCTGGTTCAAAGTGACCCAGCTGGTTTTGTGCCTAAGGTGGGACTAGAACTCAAAGTCTCCCAGTTTCTAATTTGGTACCTTAACCACTACCCAAAACTGGATCTCTAATGAAGTTCTTCATTACTGTCATGGTAACCCAGCTCCTTCCCTTTCCACAGGACTTCCCTTCTTGCACTTCCACTATTCAGAATCTATTTCCTCAGGTGTGTATCTTTTTCTCTCTTCTTACCAATGAGTCCTATTTTTCCTTCTGTTGCTTCCATAATTAGCTTGCATCAGTAACTGTTCAGTGATATTTGGGCATGTTTGTTGAGCTGTACAACTTTAGGCTCTTGTATGCATGATAGTATGCACTGAGTCTACCTGGGTTATATAGACAAGACAAAGAAAACAGAAGAGATGGTAAGCCTAGATGAAATAGGAACACAGGGCAATTGTTTGTTTTATTATTCATTTATTTTGATCCAGGAGGGAGATGGAGCCAAACCAAAGACATTGTCATGCCAGAAGCTCTCCCCCAAATGGTGCTTCCTAGACTGTAAGTACATATGACTGTGGTTATTTCAATATCTGCATACTTTAGAATCAGTATGTGGGAACATACTTGCGTCAAAGATTCCCCATGTTACCATCTTGGGAAAGTCTTGCCACTAACACAGGCACTGCAGTAGAAAATGTTTCTATAATAGGATTTTTTTTTTCTTTCACATGGAAATTAATTGCATTTGGCTGCACCTTTGGAAATTTCTTTTGTTCTTCGTTGCCTTCCCTGTCCATTTTTTGGGGGCTATTTTGAATATACATGAGATAGAAGGACCTCTTTAGAATTTAATGCAGGAATCACTAAAACATTTGAGTTGGAGGGAGCCATGTTAGTTATTGAGTGCAATACTCCTACAAGAATCAAAAATTAAATCATCCCAGACAAATAGCTCCTGACTGTCCTCTGCTGGGACTGAATTTTTAAAGGGAAGCCTTTCTGGTTATTTTTTTAACCTGATACTCAATCTTTCTTTCTGTAATTTTAATTCCTCATTCCATGTCCTAAGCTCTGGAATGAGAGAAGGCTGGTTTTGACTTCCATGTGATGTCCTATCATATATCCCTCCATTGTCTGGTCTTAAGGTTAAATCTAAACACATTTTCTATCTGTTTCTTGTCCTCTGATCATTGCAATCATCCTCTATGAATCTGACCTGATCCAGTTTCTCTGAAAGGCCCTTAATGAACTAAACTCAGTACTTGAAGTGAAGTAAAACCAAAACAGAATAATTCTGTCCCATGAATTGGGAATTAATTTCTGTTTGATCAGCCTAAAACTGCCTTGGTTATTTTTTTGCAGAAACATCACCATGCTGACTCTTCTTTGGTTTGCAGCATAAATTATTCCAAGTTCTTATGAAATGAGTAAAATACAAAAGTACAAGCACAGAGTACACTTACTACATACCCATAGTGCTTGTACGCATTTTATATTTTTAAGCAAGTAATGTTGCAATTTTCTCTTCTAAATTCAATTTAGCCTCTTTCTCCAGCAAGAGATTATAGATTTTAGTTATGTCTTTTTGTGGTGTTAGGTATCCTGTCTAATTTTGTCTCTCCTTCTAAGCCTTTCCCATGCAAATATGAGCTTACAGTCCATCATCTACTTTAGCTGAAAAGTTAGTTGGTGGAGGAATAAGTGTAGTTAAATTTAACATTTTCTGTTAGTGATAACATTTGGACTGCTATGATCAATAGTGGTAACAAGACTTTACAGAAAACTTTATCTCTGAAACGATCAAGTGCTCTTGATTTTTGCAGTTCAGATATGGTAGCCCTGAATTTGGTTTAATTGATTAGAGAGAAATATAAAACATGAACAAGTGCTTAATAGATATTCTGGATCTATATGCACAAATTAGGGGGCAAAAATACTGTTTTAGAAAGTAGATGTATGAAAAAAATGTTTACTCAGTGAATGGAGAATATTTTTGCCTGAGGTCAGCACTAATTTCAAGAAAGGATATCTCGATCTATATGCCAGCAGTAGCAAAACTGGAATTGGAAATGGACAGGACAATTCACTCACCCTTTCCCCACCTCTCTTTTTCCTTCAGTGGACAGTAAAGTAGCACCATCAGATTCAAAATTTCTTTATACGTATTGTATAAAATACTGAGATATCTAGAAACATAAAATAATCTACTATTATGTTTTGTCCCATAAGCATTCTAACTCATTGCTATAATTAGACAGAAGCCATAATTCACTTTACTCTGTCATTGTAATTCACTTAAATCATTTGCGTTTTAGATCACTAGGTTGGAAGAAAGCCATTCATTTGAACTCCAAGTTAGGGAAGGGCTGTTTCTGAGCAATAGAATCTGTGCTTTGTAGAAAGTCCTTGGTTCAGTTCTTGACATCTCTAGATTAAAGAGAGCACACTTATGCCCAAATTAAAGAACCAAGAGTAGTCATTATGCCACAGTATTATTTCACAATATAAATATCAGGATCCACTTAGATCAGGGTTGTCAAACTCATGGCATCACATTGTCGTGTGACGTATCGCGACTTTTTTCCCCTTCACTAAACCAGGCGTGGGCGTAGCCAGCACATGACGCCTCTGGCCCGCAGGCCATAAGTTTGACACCCCTGACTTAGATGGATTAACAGCATATATACGAAGGTATTTTGTGTTTCAGAAAAATAGAACCTTGGCTTCAAGGAAATGTCTTGAAAAAGCTTCACTTTCATCCAACTGCAGAACCTTTTGACTATCCAAAATTTTAGTGAGGAATTTATGCTGTTGGCATCTGTTGCCATTTCTTCATGCTGGACAATTAACACTTGGAACAATTTTGGATAGATAAGATCTTTCTATAACTTGATTATAGTAATAATTTCTTAAGAGAGGGTTTTGAAACTTTAATTTTATCTTTTTTATTATTGTTGTTCTTCTTAACTATTTTGTCATTAATATAGTAGATACTGTAGATGACAGGTTAATAATTTGCAATTATATTTAGTATAAAATTTGCGGGGGGAACAGTTCTGCAAAGGGTGGGAAGCTAATATTGTAGTAATGTACTAAGCAGTATTTAATCAGGGGGATAATATGTACATATGTGTTATGGTTTTTTTCTTGTTTTAATGCACTTTTTAATATCTTGTTCTTGTGTTTTTTCTCACTTTTTTAAGTTTTGGAGTTTTGTGTTTTAAGTTTTTTTGAATAAAAATAAAAAGGTGGAAAAACTAATGGCAGTCATTATACAACAGTAAATAACAGTGTTATTTTACAATATAAAGATTGGGGTCCATTTACCAGGGTTGTCAAACTGGCGGCTCCCGGGCCGGAGGCATCATGCACAGGTCACGCCCAACCCAGCTCTGTGAATGGGAAAACCATCGTGAAATGTCACGTGATACCAACATGACGCGGCGAGTTTGACACTCATGATTTAGATGGATTAACAGCACATAATAAGAAAGCTTTTTGTGTTTCAGAAAAGTAGAACATTGGTTTCAAGGAAATATCTTGAACAAGCTTCACTTTCATCCAATTACAGAACCTTTTGACTTATCCAAAATGTTAGGGAGTTTATACCATTGGCATCCATTGCCATTTGTCCATGTTGGACAGAATGGTAATGCCTGGATTAGATTTGCTCCTTGGCCAGTAGGTGGCTCTGCAGGAAAAGACTGAAGAAAATAAAGCAGTTTCGCCACAACTTAGCTAAGGATTCCCAGAAACAGTGAATACCAATGAATATGCTGCATTGAAATTTACTTTTTGTGCATCAAATTCAATTATAGCTTTTTGGGTGGTGGTGGGGAGTAACAAGAGAAGGCAAAGTAATAATTGATTTCATTATTTTTTTTTCCCCCTTGCTGGGCCTGTGACCCAACCAGCTGGGTTTTGCAAAAATTCCCAAGTGCTCGGCAGGGCAGCAGAAACTTGTTTACAAACACAGTTTTGTTCCAAGTTCTTTCCCAGCTGCAATTTGCCCCCTACCTGAAGGCCTTCCTAAAGCTTTCAGCTGCACTTTTCACTTTTAGTAGCACGCTTCAGCTCTTTTTAAGATTTTAGTTTAAGCAAGACTCTGAGACTCTCCCACAGGCTTAGACAATAGGAGCTTTTGTCCTCCTGTAGCAAAGCCAGAATAAGTTCCCAAACACACAGGGAGCAGCTTGCATGGTCTTTGGAGTCTGTTGATGCAGCACATCCCTCCAGATCTCCTCCCTTCAGGAAGGTTATAGCAGGCAATTGGGGAAAAAGCTCTTAGAAATCTAATGGATGTGGGGATAACATGAGATACGGTGGAATTTAACCAGGATAGAAAGTGGAGAGTCCAGAAAGTAAAAACGGACAGGCCACAATCAAGACTGAGGAGGACATTGGGAGAGATTCATGTCATTGCAGGCTCTTTTTATATAATACTGGTAGATTGAACTTTATTCTGTATTCTTCCTTCTAATCAAGGTGTGTAAGAGAGAAGGAAAGAGTAATTCATTTCACTGACTTCATCTGCTTTCCTGATTCCATTTATTTGCTTTTGTGTTTTTCATACTTCTTAACTGCCCATCTCCCTCCATCCCTTTTCTCTGGGTTTTTTAACTCTTTTCTCTATCTCTGCTCCCTCAGGGAACTGTAGGATACTAATGTCCTATCTGTGTCAGTAGGTCAGTTATTAGTCTCTTGTCCGCTCCAGTCCATCCCTTATTTACAAGGAATAGAGAAAGCAGTTCTTCCAAATGTACATCATTGTGTAATCTTGTTCCCAAATAAAGAGATGAAATCACCAACCCTGATGCGCAACATACAGGCACATGGGCACATTTGATTATGGGATCCCAGTGAGAAAAGGCCATCTTTTTTTGTGCCCCTATATGAGGATCCTGTTCCCAGATATTGTTGCTGCAGATTGTTTTCTCTTTTTCTGCCAGTTTCCCAGCAGCATGTTCCAAATAGAGGAAAATGTGTCAATGGAAAAAAAAAAAGCTGGAGTGGTATTCAGGGGTAACACAGGCTCATTAAAATGGTTGAATTACTGGCCTTCATCAAGAGCTCTGTGACTGTAAATCTCTCCCCGGGACAGGATAAACGAGGCTTTTTCACTCTTCTAATCTGCTCTGGCTTGTGTCATGAGCTCCTCTCCCTTCCCCATCACCTCTGCTCTGTTCCCAAAGAGAATTCCCCAGTTTTTCTAGGGTTCAGCCATAGCAACCTCCCCTTGCCCACAGCATTCTGAAAAATCCAAAAGAGGTAAAAGAAAGTTCTGTAAGTCAACAAAATGTAGTCACCTGGGCTGTGGCTCCCTACCTGAACCGAGAGGATTAGTGATTCTGGGTGTGAGCACTTCCATAGAGCTCAGCCACTTGCTCCCAGCTGTTTCATGCATTGGAAATTCAGGGTATCAGAAGCGGTCTGAAACTGGGAAAATGGGTACCTCTCTATTTTCTCTATGTAAACTGTCAAAGATGGGAGTAACGCCTGCTAACATGAATCCCTGTCACTCCATGGGTTTTATTTAATTTTAAATGTTCTTTCATTGATTAGCAGATAGTGATGATAAATAACTATCAGTTTAAATGTCAAGATATGAAAGTGAGTTTTAACAGCATATCCAGTGTGACACGCATATATGCCACACCGAGTATACTTTTAAATGATTGAGATTTTGTCAAAACTCACTATATTTAGCATATGCAAACGTGAAACAAGGGGGGGAAAGCACATTTTAATGAAGCTGATTTCTTTATTTGTACTCAAGCATGACTAAAAATAAGAGAATAATTTAATCTGCTTACTGTTTAATGCAGTAAATCATGTTTTATAAAAGTAGCTAACATTACCAAGGCTTATTCTATTCAGCATTCAGTTATGGAATACAGCCTTGAGCTCAGAATTCAACATCTTCCAATTGTCTCTTTGGAAAGGCAAATTCCAGGGTTTGCGGCTAGATGGATATATTGGGAAGTAGTTGGACAATGTCAGTTAAATTATTGAGAAAGTAAATGAAAGCATTTAATAACTTCTTGGGATTCTGTATAAATACCAAGTAACTTATGCATTTCTTTTACAGCAACCACAGCAGATCGTTTTTATAGAATAGACCGTGCCCAGGTGAGCTTTATTTTATGGTCCAAAGACAGTGGAGAATGAGCTTCTCCAATAAATAAAAAATAAAAAGTATATTTTCATGCTTTCTATGGAATAATATGGTTTTTGGCATACATCTTGGTTTTTGTTTGTTTTTAAATATTCAGTACTACAAGACTAACTGAATGAATTCCTTTCAGAAGTAGTTATTTCCAGCTAGATTTTTTTCTGCTTGTTTTTGATGTATTATACTGACTGTTTCCCAGTATGATTGATTGCTTATTGTACCCTATGATTATTAAGTGTTGTATCTTACGATTCTTGACTCTTGATTAATGTATCTTTTTTTAATGTATACTGAGAGCATTTGGACCAAGACAAATTCCTTGTGTGTCCAATCACACTTGGCCAATAAAAAAATTCTAAATTCTAAATGTATTTATATAGGAAAAAAAAACAATTGCAGTGGTTTGTTGCATATTATCAAATAATATTGAGGTTTTGACTAGTTAATAATAGTAGAAAAATTAATTCTATCCCCCAAATTATTTATCTGTATATTTCTAGGAACATCTTAATTATGTAACAGAGATCTCCCAGGATGAGTTGTTTGTGTTAGACCCAGAACTGGTGCGCACTCAAACAGTGGGCACATCTGCCATGCCTGACCTTGTTGATGTTCCCTCAACACCTACAAAGCAACATCTTCCTCTCCCAATTTCACCACCATCTACACCAGTCTCCAGGTGAGGCTGTCTGCTTGGGGACTAGAGGTAAGAAAGACCAGGCTAGATTAAGAGAAGGACCCCCAAGGAAAAATAGCTTAAGGTTTTATACAAAATGGGGAATGAATCTTTGAATTGGGATAGGAGGGTTTATTTGTCAGCTCCATTAAAAATACCAGGCCATGAAATCAACTCCATAGGATGGCTCCAACAACTTCTATTGAGATGGACTGTACTAACAGCATTTTGCAAGTCTGGTTGTGCTGTACCTCCTCCTCCTTGTTCTTGTAGTTCAGTGAATAACAGGAGTGTCAGTCTGAGCCACTTCCAGAGATTATCTGAATGTTCTGGATTTTTAAAAAGTATCTTAGTCCCTTTTGCCTGGGCAACAATACCTGTGTCAAGGTCATATTCTTTACTCTCTATACCCATAGCCTCAATAATTGGTATATTGGATAGTCTATTTTAATTTTAACAGAATCGCATAGTGGTTCAAACTGGGTGAACAAGCCAGGATGAGAGGATGTGAATTCCTAAAAACTTCTTGGATCAGCTACTTACTTCAAATGACTTAATTCCTTAAGTAGCACAAGTCAGAATTACCAATCTGTAGGAGCACCAAGATCTTCTCATTCTGTCTCTTTGATTCTAGGCAAATAGAGTAGGAATTCTTATGGAAGGGAGGGGTTTGAATAGGAAGGACTTTTTTTTTAGCTTCGAATCTTTTGTTTTGTTCTTCCAGCTCAGCAGCGGACAGCAGCCAGGCCGTTAAAGGTGAGACCTTTTGTTCACTATATGGACTATATAATTTGTTTCTAACTGTTCTTTAGCATAACTGAAACAAATTTTGGAATTGAGAAGTGAGAAGCATCAGTGCTGTGTCCAGTTATATTTATTTGAATGTTCATATTTAGGGAAAGAAATTTGATCACCAATGTGCTTGCTCGTGAAGGGGAAATCTCACATTGGAACACATTCAGATTTGAAAAGCGTTTTAGTGTTTTAGTACAGCTTGCAGTGGAGTTAGCATCTGTAGGTGATGTTTAGATATAAGAGCATTACAGAACTACAAAGATACAAGCAGGAGCCAGGCTAGAGCACTATGCAATGTGTTCTAATGCAGGAAAATTAAAGTTTTATTCATCCCTGCTACAACAGGAATTTAAAGTTGCTGGAGCCCTACTTGGGGAATTCTGGATGATTGTTGGATGATTGTTTTCAAGGCAAGAAGCATTGGCTTTGCATATACTGCCTTCCTCAACTCACAACATTTGGGAGAAAATGTCACAGCGATACAAAGTTAATCTTCCACCTGTAGCAGCATGGGATGCAAGGAAAAGCAGCAGGATTAAGGTCTCTACATCCGAGTGGTGCATTAGGTGTGAGATTTTGGAGTTGCAGGAAAAAGAAAACAGAACACCAGCAACCTGTGGAGATCAAGGAATTTCATAAGTCTTATGCACCATCCTGTATATTCTATCTATGCCTATAAAAATGAGTAGCTAAGAGCAGTGAAATATAAACAGTGGAGCCCTTGGTGCTACCTGAGCTTGGTTGTTTTGTTTACAGACATTCCATTACCTGACTGGATGACATCATCAGTGCTAGTGAATGTAGGGTTTGCTCTCTATTTATATGCAGTAACTTGTCCTGCCATGGGGGCGTGGGGGGGGGGGCTGCTGTTTCCTCCCCACTATTTCAACAGATAACAATACCCTAGTCAAGGAACCATCATTACCACTGTAGCTGTGTAATAAACAAGATCTGCAAGCGAACACCCAAGTTCAGAGAGCACCAAGGACTCCACAGTTCAAGCCATCATCTTCTATTGAAATGTAAACAATAGAACATTTACTCAGGAAATGATGAATTTGAATAAATTATCTTGCCTCCACAGCAAGACACACACACACACACACACACACACACACACACACACACTAAAAATAGTGAGGGATCCAATTCAGAATCTCCACAAGAAAAAAGCTGTGCTTTTTCTCTCCCTTTTCACACTAGGATTACTCTGTTCTTACTTCTGAATAAGAATAACAATTGCAGGCTTCCCCCTCCTGATTAAAACCTCTAGAAGTTTTGGGTTGCAACTTGTCCAAGATTGATGGAAGTAAGAGCTATCCTAATGAACATAGCAGTACACAAAAGTCACAAGCAATTTTATGAGGTTCTCTGGGTAATTATCTCTGTGTTCATTAGCCAGCTTCTGTCCCTAAGCAGAATTATTGTCAGCCCCAACCCCTCCAGTTGCTGTTTCTTTGGCATTTGTCTTCTTCATGTCTTGCCATCTTTTTGTCAACCACTTCATTTTGCACTCTGCTGTCTCTTCTTTTACAGATGATGCTTTGATAGATGCTGCCAAGAATAATGATTTTTCCAAGGTAACAGCTCTGTTGTGCTAAGATCAAGCTGCAATGTTGAGAAGAATATAGTGCCTATGCCACAGCAAGGTCATCCATAGTGGTTTTATTTAGGGTTGTATGTAACAATCTGCATGCATTACTTCTCAATCTCTTCCCAGTCTCTTAGTGGTGCTGCTTGACTTGTTGATTTCAGCTTGCTTGTTATCCTTCACCAACAGTGCAGATTTTCTTTAAACCAGGTTGCCCTTTCATCCAGTGAAATCCTAATAGGCTCACTGAGGGCCTCCTGTTTCTATCAGACACCTAGAAGGTATGAAAAGAATTGCAATTAATTTTTCAAGAAAGGTATTTAGACAAGTTACAACTTAAAACCTTTTGGTTTGGATGACAGACTTCTAAGGACTTGAATGAATTCCGGTTGTATGGATCTAGCATACTCATCCAATATTTATTTACAGTACAATTAAGAGTATCATAACACAGCATTTTCTACTTCATATGTGGATGTGGATGCATTCGTGTTAGTTTTGACTCCTGGCAACTTTATGGACAAGTCCCTACAATGTTTTTGGCAAGATTTTGAAACGGGTTTGCCATTTCCTGCTTCCTAGGGCTAAACAAGAACAACTGGTTGAAGGTCATTCCGCTAGTTTTATGTCTAAGGCTAGAAGTCACAGTCTCCCGATTTCTAGCCTGCTGACTTAACCACTAGACCAAACTACTTCAGCTGTACTAACTAATCCTGCTGAATTCAGGTGGAAATCTTAAATCCAGCTGATTGTCCGTGATTATCTCTGATGTCCTCTTTGTATCTATTCTTTGAGAATTCAGAGCAATTTGACACAGTGTTTTATATTCAGTGTCAGAAATAGCTATAACGCAATCTTTATTACATTGTATTACAGGGAGATTTAGGATGTGTTCCTTGAGCCAACTGTAACTTAAGACAGTGCTTGTTGCAACAAAGAGAAATAAAAGCCCATCAGATTACTCTATTAATGTCTCTTAATAGTGTTCTTATCCTCTTAAGAAGATAGAGGATAAGAAGACAGGAAGAATTGTGATGAAACTGAGTAATTACTATTTATAAAGTATTAACTCTTTGGACCCTTGTAATTTGTGAGTAGGCTGTTCAATTCAGCACTTGTGTGAGCTTCTGTGTTTTTTATGTCCTGCAACAATTCTTTTCACATTCCATTTTGGAAATATTCTTTTTATTGATCAGAATAGGGCTTTGCAGTTCTGGTGCATCAGGATCAATCCTGTTACGATTGGGCTTGCATATCACCTTATTTCAGGCCGAAGTGGACTAGATAATGTATGTTACAGGATGGCAGCCATTATCTTAGCATGGTGTATAACACCATGCTATTGTTCATTTGTTTGGTCCTAGTATATTATGTGAAAGAAAATTGTTTTTAGTTAACCCAGATTTAGCAACCAATGAATAGAGCAGAAGAGACCTGGCCATATGACTTTCTTGGATGATAAAGCAATGCCTTTGATATGGATGATGTAGCACCTGGTTAAGTCCACCTGCCAGATGTCCCTCACGGTTACCAGCACAGAAATAGGATTTGACTGCAGATTTACTCTATTATGTGAAATAGTGAATGCAGAGAAGAACACTATCTCACAGATTCTCTAAATATATCAGATCAGCTGCTTCTGATTACATCCAATAATACTCCCTTTTGAATGGGAGACTGAAACATCCTTTTGCTGGAAAGGCCTTTTTAATTGCTTCTGGCTCATACCACAGTCCAAGTGATTAACTGTTAACTTCTTTTTTCCAGTAATCTCCTTTTGTTGCTGCTTGCTTTAAACTTTTGTGTAAATTGCTTCGATTGAGGCTTACCTCAATAATGTCTGTATTGTGGCTCATTTCAAGTGATTCTGTGTTGCTCTAGTTCAAAGAATTGCACCGAGCTGGCAAAGACTTGATGATGCGTGATCCCACAGGCCAAACTGTCCTTCACCATGCAGTCAAATCGGGGAGTAAGGAGATTGTGAAATACATAATTGAAAATGGTAAGTCAGGTCAGCAAAATGGATGAGTTTCTTAGCTGTGATTGTTTTAATCAGTTATCAGTATAAGAAACTAATCAACAAGAACAATAGATTTCAGCATACTGTTTTTATTTTGGATTCTTATTGTGTTATATGGTTGTGTATAATGCTATTCTGATTTCAGCCTTGAGAGCATGTTGCAGATATTCTTCTAGCATTAATTGAGGATGGCCACTTAGCAACTGGTTGCCTGGCCAGTCACTAAACACTTGTCCATCAGAAAGCCAACTAGTAATGTCACTGCCCAGTTAACCCTGGCTTTATCCAGTGCTCTTCACTATTCCAGTTTATTGTTATCTTTTCTCTGGGCAGATAGGCAAACAGAGCAGTTTTGTGGTATTCTTATTTTCTGAGAGAACCAGTGAACCTGTGTGAATCAATATGGCAACCATGGATTTTGTGAAAAGAGCCTGTCTAATGATTAAATCACCTGGCTAGAAACCAGGAAATGGTGAGTTCTGGTCCTACCTTAGGCACAAAAGCTAGATGGGTGACTTTGGGGCAGTCACTCTCTTGCAGCCCAAGTCATCTGATTCGGTTGTTCTTGTGGGGAAAATAGAAAGAAAAAGGAGTATTAGGTACACCGAGTTACTTATAAAAGTAGTAAAGGTGGGATATAATTAAATAAATAGATAAAATATATAAAGCAGATTTAGAATACTAAGTATTAGAAAATGAATACTGTGCACTTCACAGAATGGTTTTAGTATTTATGAGAAATGCATATCCCATTTTCTTTATAGATTTTTCATCTATAGTAGAAGGGGAAAATAATGCAGATTGATCTCTCTTTCTCTATTCCAGCTCCTGCAGAGATTTTGGATGTGGCAGAAGAGAAGTAAGTCCATTCTAAGTTATGGTGGCAAAAAATCACAAGGGGACTTATATATTGTGTTTGTTTGTTTTTCAGTTGACCCAGTTCTTGATATATGGGTCCATGTGTATTTATGTATCCATGTGCTTGTTCATTTATTCATTCAAATTTGTATGGCCCACCCATCCCAACAATTGACTCTAGACAGGGAACAGTCTTGTTATGTGGGGAAGGATAGTTCCTCTTTGCAGTCTGTCCTTTGGGATCATGGCTTTGAAAGCTGTCATACTGCACAGGTTGTGTTGTAAGCATAAATTCTTATGCCTTTAAAAAAAATTTAAAAAAAGAGAAGGTTACTCTTTTTCCTCATCCCTGTCCCCTAGAATTCCAGCTTTCTCTGCTGCTTAGTACCGGCTTTGAAAGAGGATTTGTGTCTGTGGATCTATTTGCAGAGGCAGTGGAAGCTTTATTTTCTTGCCAGCAGCTCCACTTGCGGAAAAGGTGGGCAGCCCGCAGATCGCAAGACAGTCCTGGTTACAAGGGAATTACATAAGAACTTCAGTAGATTAGAAATCTCCAGAATCGGTTGTTTCTACAAAACGTTTTTCTTCTTGATGCCACATTCACCCTCAAGTTGCTGTTTTCTCCAAGTAGAATTTTTTTTTTTAAAAAAAATGCTAAGTCTGACTTATTAGGGAGGACTTTCCCCCTTTGTGGTCTGTCCCTCAGCCTTTCTTCCTAGCTGATGTAAGAACTGATCCCCATGCCTTACTAAGGCCATGCAAACATTAACATACAAGAACCTGGTTCCAGCCAGGGCTGTGTTGGACCTTAATGTATTGTTTGCCTTTTGGAAGGTAACAGAAGAGGGTATGTACTTTTGATTCTAGTTCTCCATTTTAATCTTCCTGTTAGTGGCGAGACCAGTTTGCATCAGGCTGCAGCGCTTCGTCAACGGACCATCTGCCATTACATAGTGGAGGCTGGAGCTTCACTGATGAAAACAGATTTGCAGGTAAGAATTTCTTCTTCTCAGTGGAGCATTGGGAATACAAGAAGGGGAGTGAAATTTCGGAGTTCGGAATCAATAACAAATCTTTTTGTGTAGCACAGTAGTGTATCCACAAGAAAGGATGACTCTGTGTGACTTCCTATCCCACTAGCTAATTAATTTTTCAGGCTGGGGAATTGTAAATGTGCTGCTAATACACTGATACCTACAATTGAGAATTGTGTTAAATGTATAAACCAGACTTCCCCTAGAGTCAGAACTGGAATTCATGTCCGATGAGAATTCTGGAAACTAAATCTCATCACCACTTGGGAGTTATGCCAGATTGTGTATATCAAAAGGATTTTGAAAAGGAAAAGGAAGGAAATGAATTATATTCAGTAGGAAAAGTAGACTGTGTATTATATGAAGATAGATCTGATAGTGATCTGCTGCATTTAAGATAACAGCTTGGCAAATGGTTTTGTCTGATCTCTTAAGCTGCCAGTGTTTCTTTCTCTAACTGTAAATCCAGAACACCCCATTCCCCCTTTTCCTTTTCCTTTTCCTAACTTTGTTGCAAAATTGCCTCACTGTAACTTATTCTGACTCTCAGCAACATTGTCAAGCTAAAAAATTTAATCATGTTTAACACCATAGAGCTGCAGAATCTTGAAATATGGTCATAGCTCTATTTTAATACCTAAGCGGAAGGACTTAAAGAAAGTACTGAAGGTATTCTTTGGCAGAAAGACTCCTAGTGGCTGGCCTATCGTATGTATTTTCTGGTGAATTAGCTTTATCCAACAGTAGTTGTGATTTGAAGTTGAATAGTAGTCCTACCCAATGAAAATGCATAGTGTCTCATGTTGGCAAAATTTCTCGGGACCCATGAGTTCATTTAGCGAGAATAGATCCTAATGGGCTATAAAAACATCAGAGCATTTCAAACAAGCAATAAAATCCCTTGCCGAAGATTTTTGTAGCCGGTTCTGGCAGCTCCTTGAACCTCTATCCTTTAATCAGTCACATGGACATTGTAACATGACCAAACAACAGTTGCCGGAGTAGGAGTTGGAATGGCCAACCATTTTGAACGGAAAAGGGTCCATGTGAGATTGCGCTGAGAAAAATAGTTTGCAAAGTCAGATTGTGCCTTTTCTTCCTCACAGTTGTAAATACCTGACTTGGTGCCTGCATTGAAGGGGGTTCCTGACAGGAGACACTACTGAATCTGTTATTTTCTTAATTTAACTTTCTGCATTTTGGAACAAGAACCTGAGGACAGCAAAGCTAGAGCCAGTGTTCCATACATTCCCATGTGTCTTCCTAACTTCCTGCCAACGGTTGAGTGTTCATGCTATAACATGGTTTAATGTTGCCCTTGCAGGGAGAGACTAAATTGTGTTATGAGGGTAGACAAACCATTTTTTTCTGAACAAATGCCAGAATGAGTCAAATACAATTTGTTCTCTGTTCCCTGAACAAATAGTGAACTGGCTGAAACATCCTGGATCACAAATTTCCAGCAGCCAGCAAGAGAAAGATGCCTTGGAAACCTGATTTTAGGTTCAGTTTCCGTGCATTTAAGGAGGGATCTCTCTGCTGCTATTCCTGTTGCAAGAGACAATAAGCAGTTGAATGGATTAAAATGTTTAGTGATTAAAGATGCTTAACAGTGAGATTGTGAAGGAGCAGCCTCTGGCTTGTACCTGTGTGTGGAAACTGTATATGACTTCATGCATGTGTTTTGTTTCTAGCTTTCTCCTTCACTTGGAGAACGACTTTGATAGCAATTTGCAGGAACTGGGTATGTCTATTTCTTATGAAAAGAAGGACTAGGGGTAACGTGATAGCAATCTTCCAATATCTCAGGGGCTGCCACCAAGAAGAGGGAGTCAAGCTAATCTCCAAAGTACCTGAAGCCAGGACAGAAAGCAATGGGT